TCGCAGCTGGCTGTGGCAAGCAGTTCAGCAGACATACATGTGTGTCTCGGGAGTTAAGGGTCACCCTGTTTACGCTGACCCACATGGTCTGCGGGACCAGCGCAAGGAGTCGGAGTCAGGACCATGACCCGCGTTCTGAATACGGTACGGTACATCGGGCCAGTGGCCCAAATGCCTCTGTGTCGAATATCGGCTCCAAAACCAAGCCTAGTTGACCGAAGCCATGCCAGGGTTAGCGATTACACTGGGTTTCCTGGAGCTGAGCTTCAATGAGCTAAGAATTGGAAGTAGGTCCTGTTCACATGTGGTCAGGTTTGCTGGTTTTCGCCGGTTTTGTCCTATGTGGCAGCATGGAAGCATGTGAATGCACCTTTGGAAAACCCGCAAAAACCGAGCCCGGTTTTTGCTGGTTTTTGCTGGTCGGCGAAAACCGGCGAAAACCAGCTGAAAACTCGACCGAAAATTTTGAGCCGGGTTTTGCCGGTTTCGATAGTGCTGGTTTTCCTACCCGGCAATATTTTCCCGTGAACCTGTCCGGCAACGACCGGTAGAAAATTGAAGTCGAGTCTACCCGACCGCCGACCCGAGCAACATGTGAACCCGAGCCTCCGGTTGAGTTTTGAAGCCCTCCGAAACCGGCTTCATCGGGTTTGGGAGGGGGGGGGTTTTCACGTCGCTGGTTTTGCTGACGTACTATTGCCGGTTTTGCTGGTTTTGGTGGACACATGTGAACACAGCAACACAGTCATTGAGGAGCGACGACCGCCACTTTTCACGGGCAAAATTGCGATGCTGGCTCTTCCCCGGGAACCAGATTTCCGGTCGCGAAGTGGCTCCCTCTAGACTCAGAGTCAGACTGAAGGCGAGCTGCAAGCGTGAGGCGGCTTGCTTTAACCATTGCTTCGTCCTGACTTAAATGTCCATGGACAAGTCAGTTTTCTGCAATTGAAGTGGAAGGTTTGTCGTTGGCGCCATAGCTATCCTCAGTCAGAGTCTCTATCAGCACGCAAATGACGCCAGAGCAAATTGAGATTGCGAGAAAGTCCTTGGAGGAGGTTTTTGGGGACACAGCTAAAGTTATGAGTGCGGAGGCCGTGGAGATCCTGGCAGCGAACTACTGTGTAACTTACCAGGATTTCGTGGACATCAAGTTAAAAACCCTCGAAGAATCACCCAATCCCGTGCCAGACGCCCTCTTACAGCGCATTGCGGGTTTCAAGGATGAACGTGCAAAGAAGCGGAAAGGTGAGTTCTGTCTCTGTTTGTGCAAGCGTGAGGATGCCAGAAGGGCTTGACCACCTCAACGTCAGTTGCTGTTCCTGCGCTTTGAGATGCGCCATGCTTGTCTAGGCGAGGCTGTGCTGTCGTTGCTCCAGTGCCAGCAAGCTCACATACTTCATCTCACTTTGCTGTGGTGGCGCATTTGTCAGCTTAACCTGCGTCTCAGTCTAGGCTTGTAGAATCAGGAGCTGGCAGTTGCCTAACATTTTCTCTTTTGCCGCCTACAGTGGACGCAGACATGTCTGCAAGCATCTTGAGGAAGCTGGTCGTGGAGGTGCCATCAAGTCTGCCTCCTATTGATCAACTCAAGGGCTTTTTGAGCGATGTCAACCAGCGTATCCCAGTGACCCAGCGGGTATATCAGAAGCTGAGCCTCGTGCAAAATGCCAACTCGGTGGTGCGGATCTGCTCAGAGCAGGAAGATGTGAGTGGTGTCAGTCCTATGGGCTGCTTTGTTAGTCCGGAGGGTTGCTGCAAGTTCGGCATTTCGTGATGGCTGGTAGGAGGGAACTCTGCACCTGTCCTGTATAATCGCCATCGACTTGACGCTTCAGGTTGTGTTCAAAAACTAACTGAATTAGAAGTGGCCAACTGAATCGGACAGAACAGGGGCCAATTGCTAGTATTGTGTTCATGGCATCATGATGGTTGCAATTTTCGTCTTTCACTTGCTTGAAACAAAGATTAGGCGGTCAGATCTTCAGCACCTCTGGACCTTGGAAGGGTGTTTTTACTCTGTTCAGGATTTGGTTTTGAAGCCTGTACTCTGAAGCCCGTATTTGGAAATGCCGTTCCAGTGGGTTGTATGAGCCCCTGCTAGCATGTATTTCTGTCATTTGGATGCAAGTCCTCTCCGTATAGCATTGTCAAAAGCTATGTTGAGAGGACTCTCAGGCTCCTGATTGAACAAGTGCTGAAATGCTTCCTAATAAATTCCTCAAGTTGCAATGTCACCTGCTAAAAGGTTCTTAAAGCAGCACTTAGAAACTTTGGAAACCCCGAATTTGGAAGCTTCATTGTAGTCCCATTTCATCTCTATTGTAGAAGCTGGCTTTTCATCCCCACAAACGAGACAGGGATTAACCCATGCATGCATAAAACATCCAGTCCCTTGAAGGGGTCTTGGGGAAGTTGAACGGATGATGATCACAAATGTCGTCGTCTCTTCTAAAGAGGGTGATCTCGTCGATTGAGATGATGCACAATTTTGTTCCTAAAATTCACTCTGTCACTGAGTTCTCCGCTTTTCTTGTGGTGCAGGCTGACATTGTGGCGACTTTTGTCAGCCGGATCATCGAGAGCATTCACACAACTGGGGCTGAAGAGCTTACGGCATATGCAGTCACCAAGATGCTGTTCGACCTGCTGGCGCAAATAACCGAGAAGATTGAAGCTCCGCTGAAGCTTGGCTTAGTGTAAAACAAGAACGTGGTGACAAAAGGGACATGGAGTGTTCCCCACACGGCTAGTACGCGCCCCTTTGGGACTGGCGTCGCTAAATATGCGTTGCTCCTAGCTGGGGAGGAGAAACCGGAAGGCGGCTCGCTGCAGGAAGCGCTCGAAGATCTGAAGGCCAAGTTCAACGAGCCGTTCAGCAGAGTGCACTACGGCGTGTTGCCGTACATCATCGCTTACGCTGCCGCCGGGAAGATGGTCCAGTTCTACGCACGGCGGACTCAAACTGTCCAGGTGAGTTACATAGATGATTACCCACAGCGTAGAGTTGGTTCCTTAGTTCCTGTCTTGCGACTTCCCTTTCCGGAGTGAGTTTTGCTGTCACTGAGCTCAAAAGAGGAGTACAGGGATCCTGCAAGAGAAGCGAACATAAGAAAGCGAGTGTTTAGAGTCAGAGACGAGGGGAAGCAGGGTTGTTTGCAGTTCGTTGTTTAATGCTTTACCAGTATCATCCATCTTTGCTATAGCAGAGACGCGCAGCAATAGGGAGTCCTGGTCTTGAATGTGGTCTCATATTGAATGCCCAAAACTGTTGAGGAGAAGATACTGGCAGGATGGGGCCTTTTACATAAGCTTGAGGCAATCGATAAGCAGATGAAAGGAAGAATTGAAATGTGTGTTGTGCAGCCGGTGTCACTTTTACCACCTTTTTTAGAGGCTGCTATCTTCAAGAGGGTTCCTTGAGGCTTTGACAGGGCACCACAAGGAAAGAGTGGCCTGCGCTGTGGAGGCAACGTGGCTACTGATCATCACCATTCGAACTCGTGTCGGTGCTGTTCCTTTCGCAGCTGGACCCCATCAGCGACGTCATACATTACGACACTCTGGAGGGCCGCGCCATGCTGGTGCACTTGGTGGCCAATCTGTACCGACTGCTCCTGAAGATGAAACAGACGCTTCCGGATGGTTCAGGACCCTTGCGAATGTTCCAGAAAGTGGATCGGGGGAACGGCACGTTTGTGGAAGCTGGCACTAGCAGGTTGGTCGCCCTGCTACACTTAGTTGTCGGAGGCTCAAGTCATCAACGCAGGGTCAGCCAAGTTCTGTGCGTCTAATCATTCAAAGCTGTGCGAAACAACCTTAGGATTCATGGCGGCACGAGTTTGCAGATGACGGGTATGATCAGCCTCGTTAGGGCTCAACTTCAGTGAAAAGCAGGGATTCAGCCGATTGTCTTTTAGACTTTGTCAGAAATGCTGCGGGCTGTCGGGACATAAGACTGGTAAGAAAGCAGGATTTGCGTGGACTTGCTTTTGCACTTTCCTCAGCGTAGAACGAAAGTACGTACCGATTTTGAAAACAGCGCCATGCGGACATGCTTCTATTCCCCTGATCAAGACCTTGGTTCGTCTTCTTTGCCACGTCCTTGACCCCATTCTTAACCTCGTCCGTTAACCTCCCCACCCAGGACTTCTACTTCCACGTCGTGGGCGGCGTCGGGCTCATATTCCTCAAACGAGAGTGACTTGAGAAACACCTGCAACTGAGCGTGCATTGAAACTTGAACATGCCCGTACGTCCTACAGTGAGCTTCTGCTCTTGTTACGGTTCCTTTCTGCCTGTCGCTGGCGGCTTCTTACATGGTTCCCTTGACTAAGTTGCACCCGTCTGGCAAGAAACGTCCCATTGCGACCCATGCTCGACGATTGATTGAATTTCTGAAACCCTTGGCAAAGAAACTGAATGCAATGCTATCACTGATAACACCAAAATTTGTCCAGGTGTTGGAGGCGCTCAAGCTGTACGGCATGGTGGGAGTCTTTGGGGAGATTATCAAGTAACGCTCAGTTTGCTGACCAGTCTGTTCGTTTCTCCCGAGGATTGCGAATGAGAAACTAGAGCGGGCTGAATTGTGGACGCGGCCGTGAACGCTCAGCTGGAGGCGCCCAAGCCGCACGGCACGGTGGGAGTCTCCAGGAAGATTCTGATGTAATGCTTACTCTGCTGACCAGTCTGTTCAATTCCTCAGGATCTCGAACAAGAACTAGAGCAGGCGGTAATTGTATTCCCCACCGTGAACCCTCAGCCGGAGGCGCCCAAGCTGTACGGTATGGTGGGAGTCCTCGGGAAGACTACGATGTAACGCTCACTTTGCTGACCAGTCTGTCCGTGTCCTCGCAGGATCGCGAAGAAGAAACTAGAGCCGGCGAAATTTGTAGGCGCCACCGCGAACGCTCAGCTAGAGGCGCCCAAGCTGTACGGCGTGGTGGGAGTCCCCCAGGAGTTCACCGAGTAACGCTCACTTTGCTGACCAGTTTGTTTGTTTCGTCCCAGGATCGCGTATGAGAAATTAGAGGAGGCGGACATGGTGGGCATTCGCCGTTTCGTCAAAACCAGTATCAACCCAAGGGTCCGGTCAGGCTCAGCTCAGGCTGAGCGCAAGGCCTTTTAAAGTCCTTAATCAGTGCATCACTTCGTCAAAGCAAAGCAAGATTTTCCTGCCATTGTTATGCAGTGGAACGAAGACGATCTGCGACGCGTCTAGTTTCTTCAAGAAGGCGGGGACCACTCTGCAGCACGTGAAAGCTGCATACAAGGCGGCGAAGGCGACCAGGCATCTCGTACAGGCCGCGGAGGGGCCCGAAATGTCCAAGGACGTGTACAGAGTTGTCGTGACGCCCCTGGGTAGCGAAGTGGACGTCAGGGACGAGGAGGTAATCAGTGCAGTCCCTCTTTTATGTCGTGTCTTGCTTGCCTTTTCTGATTCTCGTTAGCGGTTATCAGTCTGTTATGGATTTTATCGAAGCTAGCTCACATCGAAGCGTTTGAGACCTGCTTACTGTCGTTGATCGGAGCGACCATGGCATAGAAAGTTGATCGTCAACAATTGTTTTAGAGTTCTGTCAAAATAAGATTGAGCTCAGCCTGGGATTGCTGGGATTGTGCCTCTGGTTAACTGCACTGCATCATATAGTAGAGCGATAAGTGGTATCGCCGATTCCAGTGGTCGGATTCTACGCCGTTTTCGCAAACTCAGGCCTCGTTGTTTCTGGTGCGCACTTGATGCGGCCCCGTCTTGTGAGTTGCTGAGTTGTTGGCAGCTTCGGTTGTTACAGTAGAGGCCCTTTGACAAACGTTGACAATGTGTGCTTTTGCTTCATCGATCCGCTCACTTCTGGCTAGCGGCACCACAGCCGACGTAGATTGCGACAGTACATTTGATCTCCATAGATCCCACAAATACCCTCTGCTAAGCTGCGTGAAAACATGGAGCTCAATCGAAGCTCCTACTTTCTGAAGTGTCCAAGAAGCAGTTTCCGATGGAATCCTCATCGATCCGTGCAGGGTATCCAGCGACTCGTCCACCATCTGTTGCATGGGCTCGAAAAGCTGCATTCCGCAAGCTTGTGCCACCGAGACGTACGAAAACCGAACGCTGTCGAGTACCTGGGTTCGACCGGCTCGTCAACCAGGTATATGCTGATTGATCTAGAGTCGGCCGCTCCTAGTGGTGCATCTCTTCCCCCGGTAGAATACGAAGGTTGGCAAGATGAAACTTTAGTCGACGGCAAGTATGTCCCGGAGTCGGACTTGTTCCAGCTGGCGAAAATGGTTCAAGACGTGGCCAGAACAGCCAAGGAGCGACCCGTCAATTTGTCAGAAGAGGCTCGAGCTTTTTTGATGGAGCTCAGTGGCAAGAAAAGGTCGGCCTCGTCTTTGCTACAGGAGGAATGGGTTGGCTGCAAGTGTGGCCAAGGCCTCTCAGTCGAATAAGATGAGAACTCCCCATCAGTCTGTAATTTGTGGTAAGCATCGTCAAAGAGCACACTTGTTGGAACGAGGATCTTGGCAATTTAATGTATGGCGCGAGTTTCCGCAAAGTCTGTCGGGAATCTCTTGCGTGTTGATTTGCTATGCTTGTTGATCATGCATGGTCATGCGTCATCAACATGTGGAATGTTGTGTAGCAGCCTTGCTCCAACTTTTGTGCCTCCTTTGCATCCGACGCAAGATGGTGTATCATCTACACGTTCACCTCGTTAAGCGCGTGAGTGGCAGGAGGTCCTGCCATAACGCCCTCGGTCCGAGCCCAATGCGTCCGCTCAATACAATCGGCCTGATCTCAGGTCGAGGGCTAGCTAGCTCCGTACAATAGTGAATGTCCGCTGCATAGACTTTGCTCGCAGATGCTTCGAAGTTCCGACGATGTCACGTACATGCTCATGAACGTAATACGTTATAGCACCGTACAATTATGGGCGGCGCAACTAATGCCGACTTAGATCACGCAGGTTCCACGGCTGGCATACGAATTGTGCAGTGCCAGTCGGGGGCCGGGCATAGGCCATTGCTTGTGCGCCCGCGACCATGCATATGCAGTGCCGGTGCATATAATCTTATCAATTGATTCTACGATCACATGTTTGAAGAGGTTGTACGTTATTCGTTTAGTTCTTGCTTAAAAGAAACCGCGGCTGATAGTGATGTGGTTATATTAGCTCGACCCCAAAATACATATCCACATTGTCACACGCGTACACATATATAGGTATGTCATACCGTAGAAGAATGATGCACTGCACTGTCATGTCACGCATCATTGGCAACTTGGTCAAGATCGACGATTAGTGAGATCATGATGGACATGCGCACAGGCATGGCATGCAACCGTGGACCGTCGCGGAGCGGCTATATGCAAGTTCCGAGTCATGACGAATGTCAGTACGGTCACTATGCAATAAGCTCTGGCAGCTAGCCATGCACACATATCATGCATGTACATGTGTATGTTGCAGTCAGTTGGGTGTCGACGCAGAACACCAAATTTCGATGGCTGGCAGGAAACTTGAAAGACAGTATAATGATCACGTTTGCGCTAGCTGGAGCCAGTAAATCGATTGCCAATTTGCGCACTTGGGCACCGACGACGGTTCGATCCTTCGCAGATAATCGCTGGCAAGTCGTGTCTAGCGGAGCGCTAACCATGCGAGGATTGATGCATGATGAATTGAGATATTCTGACGTGGAGGTCTGTAAATTGCGTGCTAACACATATCCTGTAAGCCTCGGATATCATGCGCAGGCAGCGCTAGGCTGTTTCGTCAAAATAGCAAAAAGGTGATCTTCGATCGAGCAGCCTGTGAGCTAGCCTTTATAAATAATATTTGACTTTCATTTTCAATAATGTACGCACAGAGAACATGCACTCAGTGCGCTCAGATTAAGTTCCACACCGCAGTCAGGGTAAGCAAACTTTGACCGGAGGCGATTGTACCGCCGAGGGGCAAAATCGGCTGACCAGCTTTCTCAATCAGTAGTAGTCTTCGCAAAGGAGAACCGCCCGAATTCCCAACTGACCCGATCTCGCTTCTCGAGTTCTCCGGTTGTTGCTCGTTATACTCTGCAAGAATGAACCCTTCGTCGCTTCTCAACGGCCCAGGTTGTTGTCCTCAACCGCCGCTTTTCAGAGGCCCCCTCCCTGTGTCAACGGCAAATAAAAACGACAGCCGGCTGCCCAAAGTTGGCAGCAAGTGTCGAGGCCCCTCCGGAGGTCGCAGTGATTGCTGGAGACCTCGAAGTAACCTGGAAGGAAAATTCTAGCAGGTAAGAGCTCATCGGATGTACCTGATGAGAAAATTAGTGATTGTGACGATATTTTAACCACACGATGCTTAGTCTCCGCAGAATTCATTAGATATAAGAGCTCGGAAGCACCCTCGACTCTGGGTCCAGCATGTCTCCACTCTATGATTGCATCGGGTAAACCACACGGCGGTTGCAACAATTCCTGTAGAATTCCTCGGAATCCAATGGCAGATCAATAATCCCAAAGGCATAGCAGGAGAATTGTTACCAACTACACGGAAAGATGCTTCTTGTCTTCCGTGTAGTCAACAGTCAACGCAGTCAACGGAGCCGCTGATGCTCCTACAATGGAGATAGCAAAGAAATTTTGCCTTGGTCTGAGTACAAAAGACCGATAAATGGTTTACGGCAAATCCACACTAACGCTACGAGTTCGAAGGAACGCATCGGAACTCTTACCTTTGGCATGATCCGTTGTTGTGGGTAGGGCCAGGAAGCAGAACTTGCACGGCCCTTGGAAGGGGACGGGAAGTGCAGCTGCAATACAAAGAAGCAAAACTTCAAACGGAACTAAAGAGCAGCTACTCAAATTCCTCAATCCGATGGTGACTGTACGCTCGGCAGGTGCCAACCGAGAACTAAACAAACGCCGGCCAGCTTCTCGATGGCGAGTCGACCTTCAATTCTGTCTTTACTGATCAGGAGAGCCTCCAAACACGGACACAGACTGGAGAATATTCATTGCTGGAGACTGTTTACCTCGACGAGCGGACACGAAGGAAGGACAACATTGGTTAGGGTCTCCGAGGGTCCTGAAACTTGGACCAATCTTACAGACGTCCAAGCCCTCCTGCAAGCGAAGGGAGGTTTTCGAAGGCCTTTGACAGACTATCAGAGGCATGTTCCGCTGCCAAATCCTAGAAATCCACCCGCTGGATTCTCGACCCTTTTCTAGCTTCAGCGCAGCTTTCGAACCGCCACTCAATAAAGTGGGAACTTTCAGAAGCGGGTCCAGCTGCAGGCATCTCTTCGACCTAAAATTCATAAGCTGTAGGGATAGTCTGGTGCTAAACAAACATCAAACCCGTAACCCTTGATATTACCTGCTCCAAACCCGTACTCACCCAAAAGCCCCGATTAAGACTGGTAAATATGCCGGTCCACAACCGGAGATTGTTTATTCCTAGCCGTTATTACTCCCAAGCGTGAGTCAATTTGCTAAAACCTCACCGTTTCTGGCATCCGGCCAGGCCATTATCAATGTCCACGGCAACAGATGCAGGTCACATGCTTTCTCTGCGCGTGTTTGAACTCCCCCGATCGCACTTGGGCTCCCCGCCATGTACTGAAAAGGAGGTACGACTCGTGCGTCTCCTCATCACCGTTTAATTGGTCTCTGCTGAGGAACGTTTTTGGGTGAAGGCATTGGAAATGGGGTCCAGGACAGGCACACAGTCTCCTTGCAAGAAAACGGACGGGAAAAATCAGCTTAGTACAGTCTCGTTTTCAGATAGTCTCATGTTCAGATCTACTGTTTCCAAACCCATATCCAATCATAAACGGTGTTTCCCTTTCAGACTTTCACCAATGACAAAGTGACAGGGGACCGTATATCACTTGCGAGCGGTTGGCTACTAGCTTTTAAACGAGTCCTTGTGGGCCACCAAAATATCTGCCTTATCCGCTACAGTTGCACGGGGGAGAGCAACCTAGAGGCCAGGTAAAAGTGAAAAGGCACTATTCTGCAACTTATATGTGATCAATTTCGATATGATGCCCTTGCTGGCGTAAATCGCCCCACCAGTGTGGCGCCTCATGACACCTTTGAGGCAAAAAGCTACCATACCAAATTAAGGTCGAATCGTCCATACGATGCAAGAATGATGCAACAGAAACTAGACACGACAACAATTTTTCAGCTCATGAAAGGACTCCTTCGGAAACCTTGGCCTCCACCCAACTGCTTCACCCCAGAACACGTCACTACGTTGCTGAGATCCAAGCGCTGCGAACCAGCTTTTCAGATCTGAAAGGCAGCTTTGCTCTGAAAAACATGTTATGCCCTAACGGGGCAAGAGCAAATGATATGATGTCATTGTTCCGCACATCCTCCAAGATACTACCACCCTTGAATCCAGAGTTCCTTTATGCTTGGTCCCAAACTTGTCCAACAAGCAATTGACCCATCAAGAACCCAGGCGTTAGAGGGGACCCCTCAAGCAAGATGTTCAGGCTTGATGGATCCAATCAATTCTAGAATGAAGAAGGGGGTCCCTCCCCACGACGTTGATTCTGCAAAGAAAGAACCTTTTACAGTGGTGCGCTTTCTGCCCTCTGTCAAGAAGGGAAGCTTAGAACATCAGAAATGGGGCAAGTTTCCTCAGAGTTGACAAGATGGTTGTACATCACTGATGACATACCTTGCTGGCCCCCAAATTGTCAGCATTCTGAATGAGCTCCTTGAGGATCATGGTGCCCTCTGGGTAGTTCTGCAGCACCTCCATGATCCTCTGTGTCAGGTCCCCTTTCTGGCCAAAATCCTCCCAGTCCTCCTGCAAACCCTGAACACCGTCACTTGCCATTGTTGACCATACAATTGTGCCACCCACCGCTTCTCAGCAAAGCGTTATAGGAATCCTTGATGACAGCAAGGCGCCCAATCGTACATCACTTGGACGGCGCCGAAGAGTTTCTTTGATCTGGAAACTTCCTGATGCTCCCTGCTCCCCTCATCACTTGGCAGGAAACCCCGCCGCCATCAAGCAGCCAAAACTTGAAGTTGGCACGTACACTGTACAGTTCTAAATGGATTGTCACCCCTTCAAACAGTTGAACTGCAGGCTGCAGCTAGTAGTAGCGTTGTGGCTCAGGCTGGTATGTTTGAAGGGTTTGCGCTGATCCATATGGTCTGCGGGACAAACGCAACATGGACCATAATCCGTGTTCTAAACAATTTGAAACGGTGGCGCAGCTGCCTTTGTGTAGAACCAGCTCACAAACCCAGCCTCTGGAGTTGACCGAAGCCGTGCCAGGGTTATGGTTTTAGGGTTTTCTGGAGATGACCGCCTGAGTACTGAAAGTTACTGCTTGCAAGTTGCAACCCCAGCCAGGGGGCGCTCTGGGCGCACATTCAAAGTGTGGTGGCACCAAAAATTGCCACCTACCCGTCTTGACTTCTCCATTGCATTCTAGGAGCAGGCAGAAGTGGCTTCAATCAGCGGAATCTGAAGAAGGGCCCATAACATTTGCCCACCGGGCGCTTACGGGACAGCTGTTTCAAGAAGAGAGGACAGCGGACAGACAACAGCTATCATAGGTATTTTCAAAGAAGAAGCACGTTTGCTTGCTGTGTAACGAACAGATGGCCTCCCAAATGCTGCGCAGATTGACTGCTGGGCTGACAAGAGCTCTGCGGTGAGCGGAAATGTTCAGACAGTGGCCACCATTTCTTTTGAGATGGTCAATTGTGCTTCCTATTGATTCACAAGTCAGGTCCTTCTGTGAGCTTTTCCCAACTCTTTGATGCGGAATGTCTTCATCTCTAATTCCTGTTGGCATACTGCTCCCCACATGTGATCAGAGCTCGCACTAAGACTTTGGCCCTCTCACTCTTATTGGAAAGAAGCATGCGTGTTTTGTTTGATTGTACAGGCAGGCAGAGGGTGAAGCCCAACTAGTGGTGGAAGTGCTCCAACCAGGGCCCTTTGGAATTGTGACCAACACATTTTCAGCCGCTGAAAGAGCTCAGGCCAAAGCAACCATCAAGCGGGCACTTGCACAGTGGCAAGAAAGACATTGCAGACGCTAGGCGTGTCTGCATACCTGTAGCCCAAGGATTCTCAGGACTGCACCTGTTCTGAAAGAGCTTGGTGAGTTGGATGTTTCTGTGTGTCTGACCTTGTAGAAATTGATAGTGACTATCAAAGCGTGCTTTGAATTGATGGCCTTGTCTTTGAGGTCGATTGTTTGCATGAACAAGAACGAATAGCCAGGCTGGGGCCAGAATGAATCCATGTTCTCAGATGCATCTGCAATTTGCAACATGGAACAGCACAAGGTGCCTCTTGTCCATAGTGTTTATATTCCCGGCCCAATCTCAGGACTCGATTCACACATGTGAGATTCCATTGTCATAACTCGTGAGAATTTGACTTTGCTTTGCTCTTATCAAGATAGATAACTTTGGACCCTGATTGAAACAAGAGTTCTTATTCTTCGTCTCACCAAAAGTTCCTTGCTGCAGGACAACTCTTCTTATCTGACATCCATGAATTGCTACATCCGCTCTCTTCACTCAAGAGTGGGGCGTAAACCAGCTTCTAATCAAGGAGCTGTGGATCTTGCTCCTACTTTTAGCACGTCGGTTTTCTTGACGAACTCTTTCAGAGATAGATGCGCTCGGCGGGGGCCACTCGGCATCCAGCTTACATTCCCACTTTGTTGAAAACGGCTCGCGGCTGAGGTCCAAGAAATTGTGCAGCGGGATTGAAGTTTGGATTTGCCTCATAAGTGCGCATGTTGTATGTGACTTTTACCCGTTTAGCTTGTGCCCAGCTGACAGCTAGGCACCTTAGAATGATGCATATTATGGCTGCTCACATTAAGTTTGCGTCCTCGCCTTAGGCCGCGCGATGCCTAAGACTTTGATAATGATACAGGCATGATTCGAATCTGGCCTACTATAGGCGGGCCCGTCGACCTTTGTGATGATGCACGCGGTTTGCATGGACTGCATGCCATGAAGCCGGTCACGGCTGCAGGCTCGAGCTTGAAAGCTTAACAAGATTCCTATATGGTATCTGCGCCGGCCGGACGGCCCGCGAAATGCATAGGTACCAGCTAGCTGCCAGGCATGCATGTGGATCATGAATTGCATGACGAGCCTGCATGCTCCTAAAATTTGAGCGCGCTAGCTCTCTAGGTGCCGTTTGTGTAGCGCTGCGGGCCCTTTCAAGCTTGCGACTCGAGGTGGCAAACGTGTCGATTTTTACACCGTTGAAGCTCTACTATATGAGCCTGCGGCGGCCTTACCGGATTTGCGGCCCGTAACATCAAGATACAGTGTTGATGAATGTCGATATTAAAACGACGAACTTCTAGCCACCTTGAAAATAAAGTAGACTCCATCGTCCATATGACCATCAACGATTAAGATCGAAAGAGGTAATAAGTCAAAGCATCGAACATAAGCGGCACACATGTGGTTTAGTACGCTATCAACGCAACAGACATACAGCCTTTATTACAACGTTAGAAACTCGGCCCACAAACTCACGTGGTCCTTCGAGACGCTGCTTCAACGCAACCTGTTCGTAGACTGGATACAAGCTCGACATAACCTTTCTGGTCTGGGTGGATATACCTGCAAGAAGGGTCCAACGACTGAGCAATCACACCTCCTGCGTTCAGTGCTGATTTCACCGAGTATCTTGCTCTTTCAGGTAGAAGTCAAGACACCTTTCGGGCTGCATCATCCTATAGACACTCATACGCGAAAGGCGCCAACCCTCTTTAAAGAACAGCCACCAGAAGCAGAATAGGAACCTCAAAACAAGGGAAGCTTCGGAAAAGGAAAAGAAGAAGGTCTGTCAAAACTAGGAAGGCGCGTAACATTTGCGTAAAGCCACTAAGATACTGTACATGAAAGTTTCTCATTCCCCCTGGAAACGCTGCCAGACTTCGGAACCGTTTGATGGCGCGATCCGCACTGTATTTCTTTCCCCAGTCGCTGAAAAGGCGCTGTCCAACGTGGATTGCAAATCTTTTCAGCGCAGGCATGAAATACGTACCCGTGTCTAACGAGGAAGTCGATGATAACCAACGCGACGTTCGGCTTGTACTCATTGGACTTCCGTATCGTCTCCGCAACACGGGCTAGCGGCCAAAGCTCGAAAGACTCCACCTCGCCATCTGCGATTGACATCGTGGGAGCGGATGAAGAGTCGAAGACCAAGGTCGAAAGCGGCGGCGGATTTGATAGAGCTACCGTAGTGCCTTGAATCAGCATGAATTCTTGATTCACTATGCACTGGAACCAGCTGTGGTTTGGCCTTTGCTTTTTCCTACGATCGGAGCAATCTGGATTTCTCCCTCAGGTCTTGAGGAGATGAGAACAATGAAACAGGTCCTCTACGCGGGGCGGAGAGTGTAGGCAGCCTTTCCGCGCAAATACCTCTGCATCCTGAACACTCCTCTTGGTAAGCGACCGGAACTGGAGTGTCAAAATTCAGCGCCACAGGCGGAAATACTGTTACGACTCTCTCTGTGACGACGCGGTTCGAACTCGTACCTTGATTTTTCGGTTGAAAGTCGCTGGGCAGTTTCAGGTCGTAGACAAAGAGAACATCTCGCTTCGCTCGATTCTCGTCGGTGACCATCTCGTATGATACCGTGCCCGCCGCCGTCGCTCTGCGAACCACTGAACATGTTGAGTCCCTCAAAGACCGGTGTATTGAAAACGATGCTCAAGCGACAAGTTGAGTTAGCTAGAAGTTTAAGCCGGGTGCGGCTGCGGAGCGAGTATTCTAGCTTTGCATCCGTCTTTCCGCCACTGCTCTGAAGCTCGAGATGCGCTTCGAATCCCGACATGCGGTGTCTGCTTGGAGGAACGCGACTCGTCATTTTCTGTGCAGGTGTCACGAACGAGAAGCATGTTCAATGACGGCTGGATAAAACGAACGATCATGATTTTCCTTGCGGTTTGTGCAAAAGGAATCTGGCACCAAAAATATGAACTCCGTTCTTCTCATCATTTGCCAGCATCATTCTTCCGTCACTCTCTAGAGTGAGTTGAGCATCATAGAGACCGTTCGAGTATTTGCCTGGTTGGATAACAGCTGCAACAGGTTCACGCAAGGACTACTATCTGAAACGAGTGACGTGCCAGAAAGGAAGCGGGTTCATCACGCCTCACCTCCGCGCCAAGTCCGGCGGAATTCCGGCCTCTTCTTGACACTCCTTCACCAGATTGTCTGCGCAGCTAAGCCCGAGCGGTTGTCCTCCCGCCACCAGGTGATCCAACCGGAGCGGCCAAGTCTGCTTCGTGGCGCTGCGTCGGGCCACCCAAAGGTATTTGTTTCCGTCGGCGTCTTCAGTGTAGCCGTTCATATGAACGCCATACGCCTGAGCGAAGGAAACGGTTGGGAAGACAGCCAAGTGGCCGCCGAAGCATTTTCTATGGGCCGTGATTATTGGGTGGAAGGTGTGGGAACGCCTGCGAGAAGTATATCAGGATCGGTCTGGAAGGACGATAGACCTTTGCGATCAGGCAACGGGGCAAATAAGACCCGGGTGGCAAAGTCTTAGTAGCAGTATCCCCCAAAATTCACACATTTAGTTGAATCTTCGTCGCCCTTCTTTACCGGACTCGAACAGCATTTGACGTCAATTCGAATCCTAGTCCCAGTGTCTGCTCGTTGGACCTTTCTGCTGACTCACACCTCACATCTTAAAGTATCCTTCGCGGGCTGACGTCAATAATCGGAACAACGCATGTGGTCCATGTTCCTAATTCATGAGAGTCGACTCCCACCTCGACGTCAGCTACTATTCATTGCTCGTACTTGGGTGTGAACCGATACAAAGCCCGATGCCTCCGGTCTCAATCTAGACGCAACGGAGGACTTCGAAAGAACGACTCACGATGATGCCAAAGTGGGGTGCAGCCGCCCTCTCAAGCCCAAAGTACGGTTTATTGTGGAAGCCTGTGGAAACGGGGTACAGCTCGTCTCGCCAGCCTGTGATGACACCCTTTTCTCTTAGCTCTGAGCAGACAGCGGCCACTGCTTTCGTACGCGCCTTTGGGGTCTTCAGGCTCTGATCAAGCCCGATGTAATGTCCAAGCGGGGACCCGTCTTTGGACCGTACAAAGTATACCTTGAAAGTATCGTCGAGGAGGAGCAGGTGCTCTGCAAAGCTGCAACAAGACGTACTGTTGTTGGGAGTCGGTAAGATTGTCCGCATGTTTGTGCAGGTTGTATGTCCACGATACTTTTGGAGTTGCGTCTGAGCTCGCCCTACGCTTGAGTCACGCCTTGATAAAAGCAAAGTGGTTTCTCGTTATCTGATACTTATGATGGGGTATGGGGGGTGCATGGAGTGAGAAGTCTTGTGTCGAATGACTGCTACGAATCAGTGCACGCGCTAAGAAGGAAGACATACTGAAGATAGTTTTCTTGACCTCTTTTGCGGCTAGTTCTCAGCTCCTAAAGAGGAATTAGAGTAACGCCTTGGGGGCCCTTCCTGTAGGGTGGACAATTCGCATTCGCCTTCTCAACCGGCAAAAGGACCACTGCAATGACTTCAACAGACGATGGACAAGAATCGCTCCTTCCCGGTTCTTCCCTCTCATCAGTCAAACATTCATATAAGTCCAGTCGGTCTTCTATACAAACCCCAGATCAGACATACAACAACAAGAGCACACCAGGATAGGAATTGACGTTTACCTCGAGGCAATTCTCAGAAACTCAAAAAGATGGAAAGCCTTACCTTTCATGTACGTAGCCGAACAACAATCCATTCCCCCGCAGCTCCAGGAATTCTGGTCCTCTGATACTCTCCTACATTCAGAAAGGCGAATAGAGGTCCTCTCTCTGGCAACGTCGAACACTTTTGATCCTACGAACGCCAATGTTTGAAGCAGGTAGAGTGAACAAGTAAGACATACATAACTTTCTGCGACCTGAATCTGAGCTTGTTTGAGACATCAAAAAAGTTTCATAAAGCTGATTCTAGTCCACTTATATCACCTGTGCAAGGCACCTCCTGCGATGGAAGCCAGCTTGGAAGAACCATCGAATCAAGCAGGGTTTGCCAGACCTTTTCTTTTGGAGGTACAGCCCGCTTACAATTCTCCTTATTTCAAATACCTTCCTTCTTTAGGTGGATCAGCTTAGTGGAGTTAAACACTTATAAAGCGGTGGCCAGTGCCCCTGCTGAAGGGGCTACTGCCGCAGCACATGCAAATCATCTACGAGATCTTACCCCCTTCTCTCGTTGCGCCAAGCAGATGCAACAACGCTGTTCTTCTACTGAAGACTTACCCGGCCCACGTTGCACTCTGCCACTCGCTGGAGATATCCCCTAAGATCATCGCTAATTGCTCGTTTCCGAGTGCCAGTGGACGGCTTTGATGCTGCTGCTGCTGCTGCTGCTGCTATTATGCGACTACTTTTGTAACGTCGACTCTGATGTGGTTGGTGAATGGAGAAACTGCTTGACGCACCTGTTTGTGTTGATCCAACAAGTCCAACAACATGATGCAAGAGGTGGTGTGCTCTCGGGTCCCCAAATTGCCCTTGATGACAGCTAGAAGGCTGGAGATGGGGCGTTTGGCTGTGATTGCCAATAGAGTGCAAAGGAAACCGACTAACAGGCGCTAGTGATTGAACAGAGCAAGCTGCAGGACTGGGTAAAAGCACCTGTACAGCGGGATGCAAGGACGGAGGGATTGTCCTCATGGCCGTAATGCATTGCGCCATCGTTCAAAAATACCACCTGAATTCGTGGATCACTGAATGACTCAAGATCCTGGAATCTTCGGTTCTCCCTGAGGCTGCAGTATTATTAACCGCTCTGTTGTTGGATCCCAGTCAGAGCTTCAGAGCTCTTGAGATTAACCCCAATCCTTAGGCTTAAGAATCTTGCTCGGCATTACGTATTTGCCCAGCCGCATTCGTTTGAGCTGGAGCCTGGTGGAGCCAGAGGAATGAAGCGCTTGATCGTCCCAAGCTGAGCCTGATGTGAGGCAGGATTGCAGATGACAGAGCTTTGCATGATCAATTATGGGTGGAGCACGGATAAAGCAGCTGGGTCCTACAAACTCATTGGCGCCAATCGTGGAAGCGGCGGGCATCTGTTCTCAGGTCCCTTCAGCTCGCCTGCCTTCTCAATACGTTCCCCACTACCACCGCATGTCTCACATTGCAACCTTCCACGAACTTCGCAGCATTGCGAAGTCCAATATCAATTCCTGCAACAGAAGTAGTAACCTGCACTCTAATGGCGTCGCACGACATTGGTTCAAACAACAGGCTTGGCGTGGCGCTCCTTCATTTACATGTCCAGATAGGGTACACCCGCCAAAACACGTCCACCGCTTAATGGCACGAGAAGCATATTCAGAGGGGAGGAAAGAGGAGCCAGGGCACCTGTTCTGCTTTGGCTTTGGTTACACCACCTTGGGCCTGGCAAACACACTCAAAAAGGAGGGCTGGTGAGCTCCCCTCCCAAATGGTACAAGGTGGGATAAGTGGTTGCTGATTGTGGTCAGCTGATGACTGCCCTGAGTTTGCCAAACATGTAGGAAGGCTGTGGCCAGTACGCTGGGGCTTTGGAATCAAAGAAAAGATGATTGCTCTCTTTGCTGCAACACTAATCGTCTGGCGGAGCCGCTTCGAGTATGGTATGATGTGCCATTAGTAAGGTGTTTTGGTTGTATTGACCTGACTTGATTCCTCTCTCCTACTTGCTCCAGGAATGTGACAGGGACCTGCAGATCAGAGGAGAAAAAGGAGGCGCTCATTGCGAAAAGCCTCCCAGCAGTTATTTTTGACACTGATGGGGAGATCGGACTTGAGTAAGAACTGCCTCTAACCGAAAGGCCTCCTGGAAAGCGGGAAGCATGTTGTAGCCTGGGGCCACCTGAGTAGAGATAGTCAGGGCGTCAGTCAACTCTGAACACAGCTAGGACATTGATCGAGCCTCGCCTGAGGGGAAGAGCTTTTACGGATTGTATATTCATGCCAGAACAATCGTCAGAAAAGAGTATCAATCAGTGGGAACTGAGGAGTGGCGTGAAATTGAGGGTTCCACTTTTCCCCCTGGTTGCCTCGTCAACCAGATCAATCAACTGTGGCAAAGTAAATGTCTGTGCTCAAGATGCGAAGGATTCCCTTTCAGCAGGCTCTATGATTACTGGTCTTAGAATCGACGTCGTGTTGCTGTGTCAGGTCCGATGGGCTGGCTGCTCTCCGAAGCGCCACACACCTGATTGCCAGCATCCCTCCTGTTGGTGACTTCGACCAAGATCCGGTGAGTCGTCTCTTCCTTCTCCTTCTCGATCCTTGAATTAAGTATTGAGGCTCTGATCACAAAACTATCCCCCTTAATGAAAGAAGAATGACGAGCGAACATGATGCCCGTGGATAAGCAGGTTGCTGTGTCAGCCCTGAAACGTTCTCTCTGTTATGCCCCTGCCTCATCGCTTCGTTTTAGAAGAGTTAGTAGGTTGTTCTCGAAGTGCAGTCCATCCTTCTGGTATCAGTGCATGTCAGTGCTTTGAATGAGTTGATAGCAATTCTGAAATACGACCTCTTTGAGTTGTTTGGCATCATACGGATGGTTCAAGTTACCATTATCCACAATGGATACGATGTATGTTGGACATGGAATCTTCCCGCTAAAAAACGGGAAGAAAATTGCATAGTCGCCTCGAAGGGCAGCTGCTGCATTGAAAAACCCAAGTCCATTTCCTGAAAGCTTTTCTTTGTTGTTTCTGAAGGGCAGGCCCTAGCTTTGCATGCCCAACAGATCCACGAAGCAGCACGCAATGGGCTCAGCTGGATTGGTTACCTCAGCACGACAGGTGAGACGCAAACACCGCCACCCTCGTCATACCCGATTCTGGTTGCATGCCTTTCTGCTGCGGCCAGTGTAGTGATATCTTGCCCCTGAAGATAGATTATGATGCGAGATCATGTCTAAAAGCCGTCCTTCAATTGGGATCAACGATCTGGTCATCCACAATCTCTCGACACTATGTCGAGGTCGACCTTCCGGCAGTTTGCGTTCAGTTCCCTCCTCGTCGCAAACGCTGCAGCAGACCGCTATTCCAGCCCAGGCTTCATTCTGCGTTTCAGCAGACTCCAGTGTCAAAGTATCGAATTTCACAAAGACACACGGGCATTATTTTTGCACAGGTGTTTATGGGGACTGGGACGGCGCTTGGGTGGACGAGAGGTGAGCTAACTCGGCATATCATTGTAGCAACTCCCGGCCCCGTTCAAACCGCTAGGCACGACTCAAAGCATGCAGAGAAACGATTTCCTGCTGACATGAGGACCCCTCTAAAGCTCACACATACAAAACTTTCTGTCCCCCTTATTTCCAGCATTTTTCCGCAACGAACTGTGGTTCCTCATGTCTCCCCGCAGGTTCTGCTTTTCTGCTCTCATCCCGCTCCTAGACCTCTGACCCTTGATTCCTGGGTTTCACCACTCCATGTCTGACACCTATCCTTCGAACCGTTTGAATCTTTCTGGTGCGCAACGACTTTTCAAAAGTCCGAAGGGTAAACCAATCATCAAACGGCTGGGTTTAGCGTCTGCCGAACCCTCGTGTCTTGGTTTGCAGCACCGAACCGCGACCCAGCAACGCCCGCGCCGCAGCGCGACTGCGCGCCGAGGAGGCTTGGCTGAGCATTGGCAGAGAAGCAAACGTTCCGGTGCACGTCTTCCGGCTGGGCGGAATCTACGGCCCTAGCAGGAGGTGAGCGGAAATGGAGCTCGCACCTTGGACGAATGATCGAGCCTTCGAGCAATTTCATGACCACAGAAACAAGGCAGGTATCTGCAGAATTTTCAGACAGAACGATTAAAGGCAGCCACGCTGAAGGTGAACCCCAACTGAACTCTCTGTGTTTTCAAGCGTCGAGTGCCCATTTGCCGGCCAAAGCTCTTAATCGAATTTTTCAGAAGTGCTTTGGAGAAGTTCGCAAAATTTGCACAGATCCGATCGCACTTCCCCGTCTTGACGAGGAGATCCTTTCGATGCGCTGAGCAATAGACGCTTCCCATCGTTCCATCTGCAAATCGACAAGGCAAAAACTCTACTTCACCGTGTTGAAGGAAACAGAGCTTCTTCCAGGCACAAACCTTTAAAGCATTTGGCGTCGGCCCATCTGCGCATCTAGAGAAACTGCTCCCTTTTCTTCGGCGACTATTTTGTCACTACGTTCAAACGCGTCGCTCACTAAAGCCCCCTCCGATGTTTCGTACAGCGCCATAGACGTCGTCCGCTCCGGACGGCCCGCCTCCCAGACGCAGCGCGTGCGGGAGTCGCGGCGCTTCACGTCGAGGTGCCACGTGGCGGACATCGTGCAGGTCGTGACGTCAGCCATGAAGCAGCCCGCCGCCGGAGGGTGAGGACTGTGACCTAGCTTCAAAGCACTTTCCGCTGGCATCCTCTCTGCATACTCGGAACATTTTGTCATTTTTGGTGTCTACTTTCTATGCGATGAGGGTCTCGACCTGCGAACAAAAGCGGTTTCTCAACCCTGGTTCCGGATAAGGTTTGTTTCTGAGAAAGTTCGTTCTGAATCGCTGCTCGCCCAGTCCTTCTCCCGAATGGGGCAAAGCAGCTTGCGTTTCGAGCGTGCGGGATGCCACTGCGCTCACCTGCCCTTCTTCGGCAACATTCTGCCGGCACTTGTGAGCTCAAGCCCTACCAACCAGTTTTCTGAGAGTTGTCTCGATATCATGTTGACTAAGGGCCATGTTGACTAAGGAAAGGGCCCGGGGAACGGGTGGGGTTGGTTTGGGGGTTAGGTTGGGTACGGGTGCGGAGGCGTGTCATTTCTACGGTTTGGGTTTTTAGTTTTGTGTTTCCCCCGAGCACAGTCCTTAGTCAACATGCCCTTAGTCAACATCAAATCGAGAAGTATTTTTATGAGTACGTCCGATTGTGCACATTCGAGATGGCCGCTGTACACAACCGAGTCTTTCGGAATCTTCCCCCTAAAAGAGTTCCGGCGTGTGTTGCGTAGCCCAGTGTAATTGAGCAAGCAATGGGTGGCACTCTGAAACAAAAGCGTTCCGAGATATGCCTAGCTATCACACTCGATTACATGGCGGACCGCCCCCAAGGGGCGCCGGGGCTTGCCTCTTATTTGAGTTATAAGCGATATATTTCTTTTTTGTTTTCGGCGATCTGTTTCGAGAGTGAACCGTGCTGGTTCAAACACTGTATCTGGAGACATCAATAGTATCGTAGACTAAACTAGTGCCTATACGAGGTACGTTACCAGTGGGCAATCAATCAATCAAATTTGAGGTAACGTAGCCCTGCAAAAATGCGGGCCCTTTCGAGAAACATTAAATTTGCGTCGCTCTGCGGGGCAGTCCAAAAGCGGCGCTGTGGCTGGTGTGGCCTAATTTCCCAGAATCGCTGTACGTTTTATTGTCGAACACGGGGCAAATGCCGACAAAATCGTCAGACTGGCCACCCTAGCAGCTGATCGCCACGTCGTACAGCCCGGATTTTACAGTAAAACTACAACTTGCCGTTTTACTACGTAAGAGGCAAGCCAATATAGATTGTGGTAAACATTAGCTCGTTCGAACCTGAGCCTACTAGAGTTGCGGATTCACTTCCTGCCTTCAAGGAATATGTCGAACTTTTACAGTCGAGTATACAACGTGGTGGACGGCGACCCGGCGACGAGGCGAGAGGTCGTTACGTATGCCAGGGAGTTGCTTGAGAGGCGAGAAGCTGTCGAAAGGGTACCGGAGAATTCAACGAAGGCGGCGTGCGTGGAGTCTGATGTAACTGGTGAGGAAAGACCGTCTGGTTCAGGAGAGTTTGCTGAGGTCAGCAGGCAAGCAGGCACACCGCTTGTCCTTGAAAAAGGAAGCGGAGAGGCGAAAACCGAAGCTCTGGAGCATAGTCGACCTGCTGTGGATCGACAGCCGGAACGAGAAGAATCTTTGAGTCGCTTGGGTGCTGCGGAAGAGCGGAGAAAGGGCGTTGATGAGAAACGAGTGAAAAATGATCGGATAAAGCGGGAGTTGGTAGTGACGTTGCTGTTTCCTTCCTACAAAGAAGGATTGGCAGCAATTGCTGACGGAGACCTCCAACCATTTGATGAACATGTCGGCCTCTGATCTGCAAAATTTGCTGACATTCTGCACATGGGCCTGCATATTCCATAATCTGACCGCATGCAAGATTACGTGTGCGATGAAGCCCGAAAGGTGCATCCTGCCGGAGGGTTCACACCCATGCATGCGTGCATGTGATGACCGTCACGTCAAACCCGGCCCGGTATGGATGCGCTTGTGCCTAGCTTTGGCCATCTGTATGGCACCAGCTCATCATCCTAGACCGACTAGCTAATCTGTGCATGCATCGGACTACACTGCTCTGCGTTCAAGACTGACTCAGTGATCACGTGCACCAGACAAATCAAGTGCGATCTTAGAGGAATTGGATGGTCTATTTTTATTGGAGCCTACGAAGTTCAAACTGACGAGACGGTCAGGGCAGCCACAGCGCCGCGCCATCTGGCACGCAGATCCAACTCAGGCTGCCTACTTATGCACAACCCGCGGCCGCGGTTTAATGGCGCGGTTGCCAATTTTGCTCTTAGTAGAGCCCATGGGCTGCAAACGGTCTGACATGTTTCAATAGCTGCATCATACTAAATCCTGAATCTAAGTTAACTTCCGTTGAACAGTCGTGATCATTTGATCGTTCCGATGGTATACATGATCGAGCATTGTGTAGGGCGCGAACCATGCACTTGTGTGCCTAGCCTAGGCGCCCAAGGCTTAAGTTCATGCATGCCAGGTTAGTAGCTAACTTACAAGACAGGTCCACAGAGTCCGACCTAGTCCGATCGATTCAGTGTACGCACTTTGATTTGGTAAGGTAGCTAGACGTTCAAAACCCAAACAATTCCCATGTATGCCATGGAAGCCTATGGCCCATGTGGCTACGGCGTTTGAAAAGAGAACATCATTCAGACCGGCCTACTCCCTGCCTGATACGGATCATTGGAGGCGTACGAGATGCATTTAAGTGCAAGGGCTCCTTGCCACAAGATAAACTTGCCAGAAGCGCCTGAGCCTCCAATGACTGGGCTAGATGTACACAGATTAACGACAATCAAGTTGACGTGGCTGCATAAGCAAACGTTGAGTAGCCGCCAACTAAGTTCAGAAGTCCTGTCCGTGTTGGGTGTGCCACTGCCGGTGCAGCAAATCCTGTACAACCTGCGATTATCCGTTGTGCATTTACTCCAAGTCTGCAACAAGCTTCAACGTCAACGTACTCAAACCCACTCTCTGACCGAGAACTACCATGTTTCAGTCGAGTGATTCACACGCCTATATCAATACTACGGCCCGTCTTGTGTCTGGAAAACCTGTTTACAAAGGCAACACATCCTGCGCACTAGCCCCTGCCGTGCACCTTTCGCAACATCCAACGAACAATCGGAAAACTAGTCGTCGTCAGGTGCTGCCGGCCGGCACTCCAAGGTGCCCGAGAGGGGCGTTCTGCAGGTCGGGCAGGTGTTGCGCCGCTTCCTGTGCTCCGCTATGCACTGCATGCAGTAGTCCGCGTGCACTGCGAAAGCGACAGAAAAGAAACGCGACTGGCTCAGAGATGCCTTCGTTGGGCAAAAGTGAGCAGAGGGCAGACACTGAAAGCTTTAACCAACAGTCCCAACTGTGAGTACTAAAACATAAGAGAGCGAAGGGACAGGACCGAACGAACGCGTAAACGCATGTTTCTCGGATTGCGACACAGGCTGAATTTGTTATGCACAATTGGCGGCAACGAACGCTGGACTCATAGTCGTGCAGATCCGAAGCGCGATTCGGAGCAGACTTCAAGTTTCCCCCCTCTCAGTTTGTCAGCGGAAAGAACCCGCACAAGGTTCTGCGATTGCAAACTTGCGGAAATTGTAGAAGACTAAGGCCCATTTGCTGGTTAGGAGAGATACTCACGACATGGTAAGAGGACAGCGTTCTTGGTCCTCGAGAAGCAGATCTTGCAGTTGTTGCGGTCTTTCTCCTTCTCCTGTGCGGCCGATGGGCATCAAGGGCGTCAGCAAGGTGTTAAGCCTGGACCCAGAGTCCTTCCTTTTTCGCCGACTTGCTTCCAATGGTCTCCGCGGCCGAACGACGGAGTGCCGACCAAATGACAACAAGAAGAGCAACTCTTATCGAGTACTTCGCAGAAGCAGGGAGTCACTCCCGTCCATTAGAGAAGGAAGGCGCGTGGGCGTCCAATCGCTGCCGAATCCTAGCTTGCTGAAATAGCGTGACAGCGTTGGATTTCCAAAGCACAGTCCAGACAGTACTCGTAGCGCCAAGACCGAAGGCTTCGTAGAAATATGACACCCAAAAGCGGTTGGGGGCTTGACGACCTCATGTTTCTCGATATACAGTCAAGTGGTGTACAAGCTTTCGACCGTCTCTACTTCGGCGCCACTCCTTACCAGAGCCTCCTGCAGTCGCGTCATCTGCGCCTTGCACTGGTTCGCCTGGGTCTTCACAGCCGCCATCTGCATGCGGTGCGTCTCGGCAGCGATGGCCGCCTCCGTGCGGGCCCGCACCGCCTCCTCGAGATTTGCCGCCCTGAATGCGCGCAACAGCACACACGTGTCAAAGAGACTCTTGCAAGATCACGAGTCCAATCTTTGGGGTAAAGAGCTTCTTTGAAGCGGAAGAGAAGTCTACGGACTGCGGTTGTAGCCGGTAAACCCGTCGATCTTCAGACAGGCCAATCGCACGTGAGAAGCCAAATTGCAGACCATATTGCGAGGCCTCCAGTGTTGAAATGCGACTTGGAAGCTCGCAACTCGACAGGTTTTACCTGCTCGGTTTTACGTTTTACCAAGAGGCACAACCGGGTGCGGCGATGGCATTTAAAAAGCCAGGTTCATTGAACGAGATTGGACGAAGGCACGGGTCCAGATTGACTGGCCGTCGTGATGTCTATCCAGCTTTGAGAGACAGACCACACTACTATCTCAGCGTAACATTGGCTCAGGGTAAAAGGCAGAGAAGATCTCTGTATCGTGGATTAGTCGTTGGACGCGGACCACACAAGATTGAATGGTTGGTCACTTTCGGAAGTAAAAATGTCGAAGATGCTCAGAAGTCTCAACCAGGGGCAAGAATCAAATGGAACACGGATGGATGCAACGGCCAGTTGGGACTCGTCAACCTTAAGTGGTCCCCTATTGAATCTGGGTCCAGATGGCAATTGTGATTTGCAAAAGTGAAGACCAAAGGTGGGTTGGAACCACGGGTTCGAAAAAGAATTGCAGAGACCTCGCCTTTCTTCAGCTCAGCTGATGCCCTTTTTGTCCAAGATACAATCCCACGTTCTGGACATAATACAAGACGCCAAAAACCCAACTCCGTCGAAGGACGACTCAGCCTCTTCTTCCAAGCGAGAAGCCTCATTTCAATCGTGCTTCTTCCACAGTAACCTTCGAAGCAGCGGGTTCGGGTCCTCATGACAGGCCGAACATATGGAATTTCTAAAACTTCCATTTCGACCAGAACGTCCAGATGACCAGTATGACTCAACTTTGTATGACAACACTTCACCGACGCTTTCGAACTCCGATTTGCTCACCTTTCAATCTCCATTGCCATCTGCATGCCTTGATGGACATTCTCGAGTAGCTGCTGCGTCGCGTACTGCACCTGCGCCATCTGCGCGTAGGTCGCTTGGAAGAACGCCTGGTCGTCCACGAGCCACTGTGCACTGCATAAGAACCATGGTCGGCGTCACATGCACTTCAGAAAAGTTGGTAAGTCCCTATGGGCCTGCATATGGCTTGTCGTTGAAGGAACAGGTCACTGGTTGACCATCCTTGGTTAAGCCTTGGTTACGCATTGGGTAAGCATCCAAGAAAACAGCACAACCAAACTTGAGCCCACCCAGCGCATGTCAGGTGCAAGCCCAGGATGCTTGCAATTTTTTGAGCTTTTGCAAAGCAAGCACATGACTGTTTTTAAGCCTTGACGCTTCTGAGCAGCCCCGGCAAAAGTGCGATGACTTTATTTTGAAAAATTGCAACTAAATATACATCCTTCACAAATCGAAGTGGTGCAGAACGGGGCAAGGATTGGCGAGAGCTCTCCCGACGAACCTTTCCATGCTGACAAGAACTCCCTGCACAGTTCCACTTCCTGGCACGAGTGCGCTCATTCCAACAGCCATCATTTGTATGACTCTGCTTACCCTTCTCTCACAATCTGGGCCAGACGGTGGCGGTCAGTGTCTATCCCCACATCTTGCATGTCCTGCTGCAGCGCAAAGTTCTCCGCGCGCTCAGCTTCAGCGGCCAACTCTGCATCTCGCTGCGCGGTCTCCCAGTCCTGTAGCTCTTTCTCCTGGTCGAACTCCTGTGAGCAGACAGGGGGCGTGTCTGGGGGATACTCGCTGAGAGTCATAAGGAAAGCAGCAATTGGCCACTGAGAATGTGCCACATGCGCGAAGCTAGATGACCTAAAAAGAACTCAATCTGCAAGTACCGCAGATGGGTGATCAGATAGGTGTAGTCATTGACTGAAAGCTGCTTTTGGGGTCGTGAAGTTGGCGTAGTACCGTACCATGAGAAAGATTGTCCTTTGGAGCCAATAGCTTAGACCTCCTTATGGAATTGTGTCTGTATCTAATAGCTGGGGAGAGAGCCACTAGTCCAGAAAGGGCTTCCTGCACAGTTGAAGGGCACCACAACTGGACCACACGGAGATACATACCTCAGCTTCTGGATCAATAAAGTCCATCATGTCGATCTCGTCCGGTTCCACAAGACCCAGGAACAGCGCTTCTTCCTCTTCCTGCGTTGCCAGTTCCGCTTCCTCTTCCTCAGTTGCTTGCCTCCTCAAAGCATTCTGAACTGCACCTGCTGGCTGGGGAATCATAGGCCCTTCCCCATTGTGCACATTCACACCATGCCCGTTCGCACCGTGCGCATTCGCCCCAGCAGAGCCCCCAGCTGCAGCAGAGCTTGTACCTGCGTCAAGCCCTGCTCTATGCCTCTGTGTGAAAGCCAGCCTCGCGTGGGCCAATTCAGCTAATGCTGTTAGTGCCGCGTGCCCTGCAGGAAACTGGCCTGCCATCGCCCTCAGCTCATCAACTTCGGAATTCTTCACCTGAGTCTTTTCACCTGATTTATGTTGCAGCCATAGCACGTTCAGAACCTTGCAGGAGCTTGGTGGCCGTCAACGTGGAGCTAGAACAACAAGGAAGGTCTGCCTGAGTGCTGAAGGGTCAGCTTGCTGCCAATTGGGCGCTCAGGTTTGCAGAAGCAACCACATACATACTAGAAGTCGGAGCCAGTGTCTTCCCAGCGCCCGGATAATGATACCTAGGAAAGGAGGGGCACCTAGCAGGGGCGCCTGTGACCTTTCCTGTGCTTCTTGCATGGTGAAATCAGCTGAGGTGCATTTTGGCAATTTTTGCTTTGTAATAGGTTCGCTCCCGTGCACGCCCTCGTTCCAATAAGACGACAGTACCGGTAAGATAAGATCTTATTGCTAGTCGACAGAATTTTGACTGATTTTCAAGAGGGCCCTGACAGATATTTCCGTCTGTCCATGAAGGGTGTGGATGGCAAAAAAGAGGACTTCTTATCTGCTTATAGATTCTGTTGGGTCAAATATATTGAGCCAAGTTTGTCATAGACTGTCTCTCCATTCCTGCCCACTTTCTCTCGATTTCACGGTGCTCTTTGATGCATGTGCTTGCCATTGGTCAGACCAGGGCGTCCTTTCGGAGACAGATCCGTGCTCTGTGCAGGGCGTTGGGAGGACAAAAGTAAAGCAGGCAATCATGGCAAAGCCGGAAGACTCTGTGGTTGCTACCTTGTCCAAATCGGCGGACGAGGCACGTGCGTGGTTCAATGATAATGTGCGGGGACAGAACGATCAAGTGGATCAGGTCCTGAAACAAGTGGATAGTGGGAGAGCAGCAGTAATGGAGCAGGCTGCAATTGCTACAAAAGTAGCTTCAGAGCAGGTGGAAGAAGCAAAGGTAAGGTTGATTCGCAAATCCACGCAAACCTTGGATTGTGCTTTTATTGGCTGTCTGATAAAAGAGTGCTTCAATTGCAGCAAGAGTTATGAAATAGCACACGCTTTGTGTCTGGCTGCGTACGCATGTGTTGGGGAAATATCAGGGCCACAACGAATCGGAAAGAGATAGGACACTTTCTTAACCGTACGCCGAATGCCGCAGTTGGCTTGTTCGTTTTGGGTCAGGATCTCGAGTTGAGGCCATGCATGAAGCCAGACTGCCAGAAGCAAATACTTGCTGATTGGATTGGTGGTCGAGCACCTATCGGGAAGGCCAACTATGAGACGATTACAGTATCTTGAGCAGTTGCTGTAGTAGGGAGGCCAACTCTGAAACAGTCACAGTTTCTTGAGCAGTTGCTGTAGGTCCCACTTTCCTACAGGGCTGTCTGCAAAAGCTGTGAAGGTTTGCAAGGGTGGCGCTTTGAAGTAACTAAGCCCGTCGATTACGCCGGACACGTGTGCTTATCGAGAGGTTCATGATGGTCGTGTTCTGCCCTTCACAGACCTTCGTGAACAAGTCCGCGGAAGTGTACAAGCAGTATGAGAACCTTGTGTTCGACCACCTGCAAAGTAAGGTCCCATCAATCTGCCCGTCCAATTGTCATGCCCCGATCGCTGTTTAATTGAGATCTTGCTCAGCTGTTGTTCTGATGAGGGGCTAAGTACATGGACTGATATCCCCCTCATAGCCGTGCTTGTTGTTGTACTATTGTACTTCTCCGTTTCTTCGTGCGTCAATCTCTGTTGTGCCCCTGATAACTGGGGCTCCGCATGAGCAATCTTCCACGGCCACTCCCTGCAATTGAGACACCACTGACCGAGTCTTTGGGACGGCTAACTTGAAAAGTACAGGATTGTAAACAGCGCCCAATTTGCCTGCACCTCATTTGTATGTCTCATGAGTCAAGATTCACCATTCTTGATGACTGTGGAAGCAACTGCTTGGAGTAAAAAGGCGACATTGGTATGCAGACTGATGTCCCCCTTCCGCTCCTTGACAGAGGGTGTGTACTGGTCTTTTTCCCACCCTTTTGCGGCTGGTGCCTCCAGTCTCCTGCTCCTATCAGTGGTGGCGAAAGGTCAGTCCCTGATGTGCTTGACATTCGGATCCCTGCTGACACACTTTCAAGGGACCATACAGAGCACGGGTACTTGTATCCTTGGCCTTTTGCCGTTTTCAATACGAAGTGGTGTCGCTTCTTCCTTGGATGTTAGCATGAGTATAGTGTGCCCGTTTTTTTGCTTCTGGTTGCCTTCTCGTGGCTTCCCATGGCTCGGTTGACGGCTTGTTTGAGCAGGTGACCATGACAATCCGTCGGGCTGTCCTTTGCTTCACTTGCTTCATGCCCCAGTCGTTCGGACGTCCTACCAGAGCATCAGACAAGAAGGATCGGCCAGTCACTCAAGTCCTTTCTCTACAGGTCCCAGGCGCTTCCTGGTTCGGAACACAGTTGGACGATTCTGGAATGAAGAAGTAAGCAAATTCATGTCAACTGCAAGGTTTGGACTTTGAGTGGGCCTCTGAACGCTCAGAGCGGGCAAGTTCGGATTCAGAATTCAGAAAAGTTGCATCTGTTTCAAAGCCTTGCAATTGTGTTCTGGACAGTGACTTTGTCGACTTATGGTTTGCAGAATATCTCGTCCAGCCATCCGAAACTCCACACGTTATGTGTACTCCTTCCGTTTGGCAACTGGACTGTTTTTGGTGTTCTTGTTCTGTTCCTTATGCTTGCTTGCGGATATGCATGACCGACTTTTCTTAAAGCTTCACAAGCAGTCTAGGCATGGTCCAACCTTGTGGAAACAAGCTTTTCTGATTATCTGAGGCAACTCTCTGTCACAAAATCCTGGTTCTCCACAACATGAAACGAGAAGGCACATGGAACACCAACGTTCGTACCAGGCTCGACATTTGCTGCTGCATAGAGGCTTGAGTCTCAAGTCATTAGTTGATCGTCCCTTCTCTGAAAGCTACATGCCTTTGCTTTTGCAGGCGCTTCTCAGCAGTGCGGAGCGAAGAGTGGAAGCGCTGCGGCAGGACGTGGGGCTGCTGAAGCAAGAGCGAGAAAAGCTGGATGTGAGCTGCAGACATTTCTTCTCGTATTCCGGGTGAATCGCCCCTGTTATTGTTTGGTTGTACCTAGTGAAAGCAGATGGAATTGTGTCCGCTCGGCTGTTATTGTTGTTGGACCAACTCACGTGGCGGCCGAGTGACGCACTCTCAGATTTGGCGTGGTCCAAGTGGTGTTTTATTCGACAGGTCGTTTTGCGTTTTCAAATACCTAGGCAGGTACGTACCTCCACCTTGAGGTACATCCTGCAGGCGTCGCGTCAACTCAGATCGTCTGCGTCTACAGATGAACCCCTTGCAACCCGTATCTTCTTGTCTACTCCTCATCACTGGGATCGATCAGGGCTTCTGTCAATATGCTACGAAGACTCAATGGTGATCAAAGTCTTCAATGCAAGACCTTTTTCTTGGAAACGAGGCCGACTGCCGTGACAACCTGTTCTCTGGTCATAACGCGTCCTGACGCAAACAACTGTCGTTCGTCGCAGGAACGAGTAAATCTCGGGTTGGTGGAGTTCCAGTCGGGGTACCAAAAGTTGAGGTGAGAGACGGTGTCCGGTACTCGCTTTGTTGCTTTTATTGCTTCTATCACGAGACCGCCGTGCTCAGCAATGGACGCACCGTTTTCCGCTTTCTACTTCAGAGTGGTTGACGATATTTTACCTTCACTTTCGGGGGCCCGGGGTCCTGGGACTCGAGATGTCAAAAGGCACCTGTTTTCGCCTGCCACCCTGGATTGGAATGGAAGTACTCGTGTCGAACTGAACGACGACGCGGGACTGATCAGGAGATTGAAAGTCGTTACGGCGATTCTAATGGGCTGATTGGTGCTCATTATGTAGCTGTTGTGCGTCATCTTATTGGAGATCTCGTGGAATCGGACTTCGGGCACCAAAGTTTTGCGAACCAGTCCACCATGTGACGCCACGTGATCACAGGGCTTCCCTTCTGCGTTCGGGCATGAAGCAAGTTTACCCGACGCTTGCGTGGCATCCTGATTCCTTGTCTGGGCTTCCTTCGTCCTTCGGCACTTTCGTCGACCGACATTCTCGAACACCGCAGCTTGGCATAGTACAATGTTAGTATGGCTAGAGTCACCTCGCTTGCTTTGCTCGAAGAATAACTATCCGAAACTGTGTTCCAACTGAGAAAACGAACCAGAAGGGGTTCCTCAGGCAGTGGACAAAAGATTTTTACCCGCCTTCTTTTGCTGTCGTGTCGGCTCTCATCTTACCTGTTTTAAGTCGCATGAAACAAGTCTTTCCTGATGCTGTGCTCTTAGCGCGTGAGACTTGAAGGAACTGTTCACTTTCGCCTTTCACACTGATCTTTCTTTGTGCAGAGACGCTGGGGCGCGGGTGTCAAGCTTATCGAGGACGGTCATGAAGACTGAGAACAGGGCGGCCGGTAAGCCAGACCCGACCTGGTCTTTGGCCGCAGTTTCGTCTCGATCAAAAGTCGTTTTGTGTGCAGTCTGTTCAGTTTGATCGGGCGTACGAGCCTCAACCACTCAACTGACAAATAACGGAACAGCAGTCCTTCACGCAATTCAGCGGTGTTTGATGTTCTGAATTGGGCACAAAGCGAACCAACGCCTTGGCAGCGTTAGTGGGCGCGCCGCCAGCTTCTTTTTCGAGACGAAGTTCGAAGCCTCTCTGAGATTTGCCGTACTCGGACTGTTCCTTGTAGAGCTTGATTTGCGTTGGCCTTGTGCAGGTCTCAAAGACGATCTGAGGGAACTTCCTGCAAGGCAGGCCATCAAGTTACGAGCAGATGTAAGCGCAGCACGCACGCACTCACTTACAGGCGTTTGTGGGACCCGTTGTAGGGTCCGCGCAGTTGCTCCAAGCTTTCCGGATCTCTATAAAGGAGTGAAGACTCAACTCCAAGGAACTCGGTTGATCCAAAACGCCCTTGTGCGTTCTGCTTGCATGTCTCTACGATTGCTGTTTTGTTGTATCGTTGTATATGACCAGGGCCGGGCCCCTTCATGGGGGCAGCAGCATCTTGAATCTCACACGTCCGAAATGGTTTCTTGCAAGTAAGCTCGCCGTTTGCGGTAGTCATGCTGAGCTTGTGCTGAACGGAGTGTCCGAGTACTTTTTGGGCAGCGAAGGCATTTGATAGCTTTTGCTGATTGGCGCAGGTGGCAACATTGGAAGCGGAAGCACACGCTTACCGGAAAGCTTTGGAGAAACGGTTAGCAAGCTTAGCTCGGCTACAGGTTCCAATATGAGCAGAAAGACTCCAGGAGCTTCGATTAATGCATAGATTTCGCCTTATCTAATTCTGGTTTTCATGAGTTTGTCCAACCTGCCACGATTATGATCGGAAGCACTAGCCAAAGAAGACTGACAAAACCATAGCGACACCTTGGCCAATGTTGAGACCGCTGGGGAACTTTGAAGCCGTTCAATTGATTGGCTATGGGTGCCTCGTTTCGGAGACCCGTATTTAGAGACCCGTATCCCGAAAGTGCATGAAGTATACTACAATCGTGGCACAAGTCAATATCACAATTCTGTCAGCTCTATCCTTCGATCACGACTAGACTAAGAGGTTAGCTTGTGATTGACAATCTAATAATGTGAACTTAGTGCATGGGCTGTTGAGACATGTTGAGTTGATCAGATTCACTTGAGAAACGTTGAGTTGATCAGATTCACTTGAGAAACAAACAAAACGAGTCCATCGACTAGCAATTGAGAAGATTCATGTGCATTGAGATTTTCCTTCAGTTACTCAAATGACAGTTGGGTGCCACAGCCCGACTTTCGATTGCAGTGACAAGGGCCGGAGTACGCGGGACGCGCGTTTCGACGCAGCCGCCTTGATCTGGAAAGAGAAAGCAGCTGGATCTGGAGAGAGAAACACCGATATAGCATCCAATCCTATGACCGACTGCATGCATGATGTGCTTGTTACGATATACATCGTTTTTGCATCGAAGGCCCGGAGCGGACTCATACCAACGAAGCATCATGTGAGATTCGAGAGCATGTCCATCAGCTCCACTCAAGTGCGCTTATGTCTTCATATGGACGTAGAAGAGCAGTGCAGATTTGCATTGATTGAACAATTTCATTTGAAGTCAAGTGCCGCGAAACAATCAATGATACCTTCACCTTCATGAAGGTATTCAACCTTTTCTAGCCGTATGCAATGAAAGGCTCTTGCAGGGCACATGCCTGATATACCTAGATAATAGATTTACCTAGGTATTTCCGCCTCGTTTCCAACGATCAGTGACAATACTTATCACTATCCCGTGTTGACCTGTGCATGGCAGGCCGGGCACTGGCGTGACTGGGGCGTCACTGGGCATGCTACCGTAGAATTATCCGTCGGAAGCAGTGGCCGTGCAGGGGCCCGGCCGCACTGGTGACTGCACATACGGTACCTACTACCTATGCACATTGCACAGTGCACAGTGCACAGTGCACGGTACACAGTGCGCACGCCGCAGTGAGGTCCGCATGTTGTCACAGACGGTCCACTGGAGTCGGCCCCGGCGCCGGGGCGGTCAGCCGGACTCGAAGATTTTGCCAGGACTTGAGTGCCCCCGGAGAACCCGGCACGGGTCGTCCGCCTCCAGCTTGTACACTGTCCAGTGTCCACCCGGGAGGGCGGGTATGGAGAATAGGGACCAACATTCCTGATCTCCGGTAAACTTCCCGATCTGGGGACCGGTGACCTTGTACGGCCGAGTCACACCGGGCCCGAAATAGAATCTGAGCCTTCCGTTTGCATCGGACGGCACTTGCCGACCAAAGTCAGACTCTGTTCGAGCCTCGGGGGGCATGTCATAGGCAGTCTTGAACCCCCTGTCGCAGCTTCCTGAGATCAAGTTGACATTTCGATCACCGGGTGCTTGGACTTTTACGTGGCTGTCAAGAGGGGGTACGGCACAGACCGAATACCACCCCCTACAGTGGCTTCCTGAGATCAGGAACGTCCCGAGATCCGGAACCTGAGATCAAGTTCTGGTCCCTATTCTCCATACCCGCCCTCCCCGGTGAGTCGTGACCGCACTGCGCAGTAGCCGGTAGGTACCTACCTAGTCATGCTTTACGACTCCCTGGGTACCGCAGTACCGTACCTTAGGTACCACTCGTGACTCGGGAGTCATGGGAGTCGTATCCGACCGACCGCCCCATGCATCTGTTTGTACGGTAGTATGTACGGTCCGATAACGCAGGCTGGTTCCAGCCCACGACGTACCTACTAGGTAAACTACCAAGGTACCTACTTACTACTTGGTACCTGCCGTACCTAGATAATAAGCTCGCCACCTTTCATCCGGGGCCCAGGTGGGCCCATTTAGAAACTCTGATATTAATTCTGAGAGGTTTGGCTAACCAGAACATCGCCGCTACTAGAAAATTCACGGGTTCAAGGTCGGCAAAGATTGGAATCATATTAATCATATTCGCGTCGCCCACTGGTAAATTCTTTCTGATACGCCGGTACCACGGTACTCACGAGTCACAGCTCACGAGTCACGAATCACAACTCGAGTCAGTTTGGTTTGGTCGAATGGTGTGCGCGAAACCGTCATCCACCGTGTTGCGCTCACGCTAAACTTTCTCTCTAATTAGCCGTTCGATGTTCCATCTGGACGATCTAGCGGCGTATTATCGCGCTGGTTGGAGCGTAATACAACTATAACAAGGTTGGTTGCCCTTCCGACCGCGTTAAAACGTAAGTTGACACCCGCTCCGAGTAATCCGGAGGCATGTACGCACAGGCACACACCATGCATGCACACGTACTTCACGCAACTGGACAGGCAGATTCTACGAGTGTTGTACAGAAAGTCCGCCCAAGCAAGGCCCAAGCACGCGGTCATGCACTACACCTCACGAGCAATGTTCACTTGCTATCAATCAATCATGACTTGTTGACCTTGGAGTGCCCCACTCTCTTGAGCACAGAGGCCCCATGGAGCTGGAACTAAGCTTCCCAGCCTCCAGGGTGTGTTCAAGACATCATTGACGGATTAAGAAACGCAGCAAGCATGGCGCGTGTGTGCGATCCCGCAGCTTCCGCACACAGTGTGGCGGCCAGTGTAGGCCGCAGTCAGCAAAGCCTGAAAGGGTGCTGGATGGCATCCTGCAACGTGACAGCTTTCGTCTCCCGAAAGGTGGATACTCTGCGTTGGAGTAACCAAGCTTGCACTCCCACCATATAAGACCCACCTTCTCCCCCTGTCTCATATAAAACCCTCCAGCTTTTTTACCTCCCCCTCATTTCCAAAAGAAGTGTTGCACACCTTCAACTAGAGCAGGTCCTTCCAGCTGATCCCCAGCTGCAACCTGCGCCCCCCCATTCCTCACCCGTGAAAATGGCCCCCCGGACCGCCGCGCTCCTGCTGGCCCTCTTCGCAGGGCTGGCCGTCGCCTCCGCGCTCAAAGTCGTCGAGATCGCGCCCGAAGTCTATGTCGAGCAGGTCGACGGCCCCGCGTTTAGGGCTTTCGCTGCAACTCCTGCCACTAGCTGCCAGCTGTGCGACCAGTCCAACAACTGCTACCCCAACGCCTTCACGCCTCAGGTGACGAGCCTCACCTGCGGCGGCGCCTGCGGCGCGACATGCACGTCCACGTGCGCGTTCAGCACCCCGCAACAGGCCACCTTGCCCAATGGGCAAGTGGTCTTCGTCGTTTACTGCGGCTGCCAAGGGGGTAAGCCTGACATGAACGGGTTGCGTTCGAGTGCCTCTTCCCTGCATGTATGTCGTGTGAGGTTGTGAAAGAGCGCTGTGGTTTGTTGTTGGCGGAGGCCTAGCGCAGACCCCTCAGCTGAGAGCCGACTCGTAGCGCTGCAGTCTTCATGGGGGGTTGTAGGGGGATGTGGTAGAGCTGTGAGCATCATCAGAGCTGAAACGCGGTAGAGCAAAGGGGATTCACAGGGAGGTGCCCCCTCCCCTATGATAGTCACCTCTTAAGAGCTGCAAATGAGCTGGGGCTCGCTGATTCGAGCGCTGAGCTGGCACTTTGGTGGGGGCTGGAATGCAAGGGAACAAAGCAATGCGAGACTGCTTAGCTTCGGCTACAACACTCTCTTGGTGTTCAAGTGGAAGCGCTAGCAGGCTAGTGCTAAGTGGCCTGGGCCTCCATGACTTGTGAGCGCAAGGGGCAGTTCTATTCTTGGGAACATGAGAGCCAGGGGCCGGATGACGACCTCTAAGGGCACTTATCTTTTCTCCCATCTTGAAAGCTGTCTTTGTATGCGTATGGTTCTAATTCTCCCCCCAATGGCTGACAGCACAGCCCCCTGGTAGCTTTCAAATCATGTCGACATCTCAAGCGGATGGAGCGCTGACACGTGTCTCCTTCTTCCCTGCTGCAGCCGATGACTTTGGCGGCTGCGGCGACCCTCACTTTGTGGGAAACAACGGCGTGGAGTACGACTTCCACGGTGTTGGAGGTGTGTTGCCCCTTCCACCATTCTTTCAGCAGATGCAACCCAGGTCCAGGTTCTGGGTTTCTCGGCAGGTGGTGTCAGGTGGCAAACTGAATAGGCACTCTAAAGTGGGCCTTCAAGAGAAAAGTTGAGCAATTGGAGGGGGTTCATTCCATTGCTGCAAATTCGAGAGATACCACTATTGTCCACATTTCCGTCACGAGCATTCCTTGGGATAAGTATTGGAGACTTTTGCCCGGAGACTTTTGCCCTTTTCACTTATACGTGCACTTCTCCCAGAGACACGCAATGAGGCACTTCTCGAGATGTGTACATAAGTTTCAGATGTCGTCATAAGACTGAAGTTGCCTGACCACTGCCCTTTTTTGGCTAAGTTACTGAGCATATATACTCCTCCTTCCCATCCTGGACGTGTATCACAACACTGCCCAGAGGGCTCTACTCGTCGCACAGACCCAATAATACTTTTGTACAGACAAGGTCACAGGCCCACTGTAAAGCACAGGGCACTGGATTTCCTCTTCAAGAGTAGTTTGCCCCCTTATGTACTGTGCCCCTTCCCAGTTTTATCGAGCTCGAGTGAGCCTGAACGTTTACTGACGAGTCTCGATTGCCCTGATTGCCCTGATTCGAAATCCTGATTGCCCTGTTCATTTAGAATCTCAGTGCAGCATTAACCATCTCCAACTTGTGCTAACCCGCTCTCTGACCCAATCCGTGCTGCAGGCCGTGAGTATTTCTGAGTCCTCCTTGCCCTGAATCATCAGATCCCCAATGCTAAGCTCTTTCTAAGCAGCATAAGCGATCTCCAGCTAAAGCTAACCCGCTCCCTAACCCGTGCTGCAGGCAAGGAGTACTCTATCATCTCCGACCTGGACTTCGCTTTGACCGCCCACATGATTGGCCAGGAAAGCGAGAACACCGGCTTCGAAGGCACCTGGATGTCCCAGCTCGGCTTCATGTACAACCACGAGGGGGCTACCCACAACGTGTCCATTGCTCTTCAAGAGGTGAGATCCGCGACTGCCCCCTGCATTGCCCGCGCTCAGCAAACTTTGCTGACCTTTTTGTGTCGTGTTCATCAGGTGCGATGCGAGGTGTGCTTCTCATGGTCCCGTGCTCCATAGCGGCTGCTGCCCTTCTTTCTTTCATTCTCATCAGGGTGTTTTGCGAGATGTCAGAATGCAAAGGCTTGTTCGTTGTGTCCTGCGTGCAGTCCGTCTGGTCCAAACCCCCTGTTCCTGCATTCATTTTTGCGTCCAGATTGTCTTCGCTCGCCGGCCTTCCTTATTCCTCTCTTCGATCTCACGTTCTCATGTCTGCATTGCCGAGCTGAAGCTCGGTTTCGTGACCCCGACCTTCTTTTCTCATGTCTGCATTGCTGAGCTAATGTTTCTCGGTCTCCTATTCCGTTCTTTTTCTTGTTCGCTTACTCATCCTTTAGTCCCCCATCTCTGGAGTTCATGCTTGATATCGTTTCTCAGTCTCTGCCTCAGGCTCCTTGTCCGTCTTCCTTTCGTTCGTCGACCCTTCCCCAATTCTTCCCCCCGTCTTCTCGTCGTGCTTCCTTCCCATTGGCTGACCCTTTTCCCCAACTCTCTTCTCCACCGTTCCCTTTGGCTGACCCTTTTCCCCAACTCTCTCCTTCACCAGACTGAGGACCGTGCTACCACCTCGGACGTCGCCGTTGCGTCCTTCGACGGCGAGATTGTCGACCTCTCATCCCCCCTCGACAAGTCCGGCCTTACCCTCTCCCTCGAGAACGGCGCTTTCCACGTCAGCATCGACGGCCACGTGGAGGCACGTGTCACCATCGCCGACCACAAGTTCCCCGACGGCTTCCACCTGGACTTCACCATCAAGTCACTACACGTAACTCGTAAGTGCCCGCCCTGTTTTTCTGCTTTCGGATCCGGTTCATAGGCTCAGAGCTCGTTTGAGCAGAAGTTGGCACATCTGAACACCTTGTTTGTTTTCTCAAAGTTGTGCATTTTTAGAGCTTCGACTTTGATCCATTTGAAGATCGTGTTCTGTTGATTATAATCAGAACGCGTGCACATTCAGGACTCCCGACTTTCTTCAATCTGAAGATCGTGTTCTGTTTCAGAGCATGAAGTCAAAGCTGCTTCAGGCCCACAATCTTCAGCAGCTCTCCCTGCTTCACAGACCAGCACTTTTTTGAAACCCCCCTTTCCCCTTTGCTACTGGCCCCAAATCAAACCCGAACTAAACCCGTCAGGAGATATCAAACCCGTCAGGAGATCTCCACTTCGAAGTCCCTTGTCCCACGTAAAACCTCAATTGGCTGCGGTATCGCTTATCGTCGGGCATAACTTCGACTCGGATTGTTTTCAAACTCGCATTGCTGACGCCGAAACCCGTCTTCTGCAGCCACTGTGCACGGTGTGTTGGGCCAGACCTTCCAGCTGTCTCGGGCCGAGAGCCTCAAGGCGTTTGCCGATGCCGCCGCCGCGGCCGTTGGCACTACCAAGGCTTACTCCGACAGCGACATCGTTGACGGTGCCGACGCCGACTACGAAATCTCTAACCTCTTCGCGACCGACTTCAAGTACAACCGGTTCGTTGCCCCGGGCGCGGCCTTTGTGAGCGCGGGCCGGAAGCTGCTGGCGGTCCCGGTACAGACCGCCGAGGTACCGTTCGTGGTTAACTGGGCTGGCAGCTCCATGCGGATCCAGTTCTAGATAGTTAACCTAACCTAGGAGGTTTTCTATTCTTGTAGCAGAGTCACTCTCACTCGGGAGATACCCCCGGTGCTTAAAATCGCGCCCAAGCCTCTGATTCGGTTTCTTCGGGTCCTGCCTTGGATCTTTGGGTTAGGACATTGTAGTTAGGAGCATAAACCAGTCAAAAGACTGGGGCTGACGACATCCTGTTCGGTGCTGGACGGATATCGTGGTCGGTAATAGACACAGTAGATTGCAAAGGACAACGTAGGAACGTTCATCCACTCGGATCGTTAATCAATCTCAGCATCTGTACTGTTGTAAACAGCCGCGCGACTTGTAAACAAGCAACAATGTGAGTACTGCCTTCAAATGAGGGATTTAACGACAGGAACTCAATCCTCTCGTTATATCCCTATTCTTTAAAAGGGGTACATCGTGTGGTAAAAATCACTGCGTGCGCGACATATGATCAGCCCTTCAATCGTCCTGTGCATAAATCTAGGACTTTTTCCCGCGTATTTGTTCTGGAGTATGCACACACTTCGTTTGCCCATCTCGCCGGCATATCATGATCAACATAGTTGCGTGCACAAAAGCAATCGAGTACTCGAATGAAAAGCCACATGAAAAGCTTCGACGGCCGCCGTCGCCGCCGGTATGTGCGTGCCCGGACGATATCTGGCAATGAAAGTAATAACCGCAAGTGTGCTTGAGCAATGTTTGTGTGCATGGAGAAACACCGTCAACTCGCGAAGGAAAGCGGTCTTCCATGCGAGAGGCATTTGGAGATTCAAGGCCGTGACGGCTCCCTTCAGTCAATCTGGCGACAATCCGTCACGCCACATTCCGGCGACAATCCGTCACGCCACATGCACTGCGCACAGCCCAAGTGATCCTGACCTTCATAATAGCGGCGAAGCTCTTGGCCATTAATTTTTCCGGGAGCATGCACATCAACCACTTTCCAGACGCGTTCACATCCAAGCGCTCACGGAAAAGCCAGCCCGCGCTTGCTGCATCTCATAGTAGGGCTGGCTTGCTGCATCTCATAGTAGAGGTAAAGAACCACAATTCGGTAATATAGCATCTGCGTCTTCACATCGCCCTACCTTGATGAGGTAAGTAAAAGCTGCGCAATGCTGCTGCTGGTGGCTTTCGCGTTTTGCTCACCTCGCACACTGACATTTCGATAAGGAACAATTGCTCCATCGAAGAACGCCTTTTCGAAAGGAGCAGCCGGACCATGAGAAGCCTGAGAATGTTTCATTGCCTTTCGCGTTTTGCTCACATCGCACATTCTGATAAGAAACAATTGCTCCATCGAAAATCGCACTATCGAGAGGAGCAGCCGGACCATGAGAAGCCTGAGAATGTTTCATTCCGTCGGAAACCGGCATCTGGGAACGAGCTTGCACTCAGAATGATGACAATCAACGGTCCGCAGCTGTTTTCTGTGACGCCTTCCGAGTTTGGCGTTGAGGGCTATGATCCTGGAAACGAGACGACGAGATTTATTGGAGAAGTGCGAAGCGCGCACGGCCTCCAGGCAGACAACGATCCTAAGAGGAGCAATCTGTCGGGCGACTCTCTTGCGTGCCCGGTCGTTTGCCACGCGCTGAACGCTAGCCGCCCGTGGCTTCAAGAGCAAAACGGGACTATGAACCAGAGATGTTTACATAGTCGATCTGGCGGAATCTGAGTCTATCGAGAGCGGAAACCTGACTATGCAGGGACTTTTCGAAACATAAATTTGGCGGAATCCAGATCCATCAAGAACGGAAACGTGACTATGAACCAGGGACGTTGGCAGTACTTGTCAAGGAACTTCTGTTGGAATCCAAATCCATCTAGCGATGGCCTCATGCATGAGCTGACAACGCATGATCGTGAGAAACTCTGGGGAGAAGCAGAAGGAAAGTGCAGCTACACATCCCCTGGTGGAAATCGAGCAATTGAGGATGAGACGCGGAATCGGAAAAAAGCCACCGAGCACCCGGGACACTGTACATGGGAAGGACCTTCCCGCTTGCCGATCTCCGGCCCAACAAACTGACTGTCATCAAAGTAACCACCAGATTGAGATTTCAACGGAGACTTTTCGCATGAAAGGTTAAAAGGTACGTCGTAGCCGCTGCTTACCACCGAAACTCGGGCTGAGCGGAGAGCTGGTTGACAGCAAAAGTGACGAACAAAGCTCAATATGCTTCATTGACTAGTACAAAAGAGACGGAGTATATAAGAGTTGTGCTCGATCATTGCCGCTTTCGTTAAAAGTGGGGAACGATTCAAGAACGATACAGGTTTGCAAACCCGCAATTGTCTGTGTTCGTGCTCAATCAGAGGCAGAATCTTCGGAGTCGAGCAAACACACGAGGTGGGATTCGTGGGCGCATTGCGAAGTACGCAAAGCTTTTCAGATCATGAGACAATCGGTTGACTCGGACGCAAGAATGATCTATTAAGCCCAGCCCACTGGCAGTAACCTTTCGATCCGTTTAGACGTAGCCGTAATTTGGGCTCCCATGAAGCAGGCTAAAACCAATTTGCAGAGCTCACGCGGATCGCTCAACACACCTCTGTCAAAGCTGATTGTTTGCTGAGAGGCTGTACCAAGAATCTCTTCCGGTCTCTTCGTCTCTTCAGCAAGAAGCCTCCAAGGCAGAGAAAGCAACCAAGGATCCAACGGGCAAACCTGGTTGCTGGCCGCTCTATGGCCCCATCCCATTCTTCGTCATCGATTTGACAGGTGGAGATTCTGTGCCCGACTGACTGTCCGTAGGTCCGTGTCATCGTCCAAGAAGCTGTGCCCGCGTCTTGATTGGTTTCGAAATTGGTCAGTCGCACAATTAAGCAGAGGCCGCTGTGCTGCTTCCAGCTTTAACGGTGACCCTTGGAGAGCTCTACTCGAGCGTCGCCAACACAGATTCTCAGTACGGAGGGTTGCATCTCCCCAAAGCTAGGAAACGGATTGCGCGAGCAAACCTTGGGCGTAGCTGGTTCAGCTTCCTCTCAATCGCCTCAGTTCCCTTCGTTTGCGGCAGCCATAAAAAAATTGCTCAGGCCCTCGAATGGCGTCAGCACCCGGTCGAGCATAATCCAGATACCTGAGGGATCAAAGGTGGTCCGAAACGTATGTGCTTTCATACCCCTGAAATCGTGCAGGTCTCGTGCAGAGAACACATCGTGGACGGATTTGCTCAGAACAGCCTGGGTCAAGACAAACTGCCTGAAACGGCCGGCTGCGTGCAATCTGTTTGTTCAGAGCTCATGCGGGAGCTCCACCCTCTGGCTCCGTTGTCAAGTCCACCCGGCCTTGCGTTTTACTATAAACGCACTCTGAAAACCCAACTTCATCAAACATATCTTCGGGGTGCAAGAAAGAGGGTCGGCAGAGAAAAGAAGGCAGTTTTGCGTCAGGGCTCTGTTAAAGCGTTTCAGACGTCAAAAGCAATTTGTAACTCTTGTCTCCGAGTCGCCCCTTCCGGCAAACCCAGCTAGCTCCGAGGCCCCCGAGCGGAGGCGATACACGTCCTTGTCCGCCCTGCCAGTAAGTCTGCTTTGATAAGCGGTACAAGTCAAAGTTCTACCGTTGATGTTTGTTTCAGAAGGTCTGACAGTCTTGAGAAGCGAAGTATTTGCAGAAGTGAGGATATCAAAGCCCAAGAAACCTGCAAACTATGATGGTGGGTGATTGAGAGTGAACCTCAGAGCTTATTGCAATCAGCTTCGATTTCAGGGGAAGTCCAGCCCTTCTGATGGACACGTCACTTCTGATGGCCCTTCGACTGCACAATTCAAGTCTCGACTCCTTCAACTGCTGTCGCAAGAGCGCCCAAAGAGCGCGCTCTTTCAATCGTCGTCGGAACATGTTGCCAGTGAGCCCCGTGCTACGGAAGGACTTGCAAACATTGGCCGAAAGTTCGAAGCAGAAACAGACGATTGCTTATAGGCGGATACAGAAGGGGCGTGCATTGCTTGACTTTTTCTCGTCTTTCCTCCTCTTCGTTTCTTCCGTTTCCTTCGAGAATGGAAAATGCTTGCATCCTGGTCGTATCGGTCTAAAGACTAAAAGATGGTTTGCGTTCTCCAATCTGGCATCCTTCCTGATCTCCAATGGCTTTCGTGCCTCTTCGGATCTTCCCCGAAGAAGCTGGCATTGACACGCTCCTTCCCAGACCCGCTCTAGGAAGGATGGATTTGCTGTAAACGAGTACGTAGTCTGGTCTTTTACACCCTTGACAAGACAATCCATGTCAATCGGTACTATCGGGCCGCTACATGAGAGCTTCTAGGAGCTGTTCACATCTCGCCCGTTCAAGTTGACTCGCCGGGTGCCAAACCAAGAATAGCAGTTCCTTCGATGCTCGATTCAGACTCCTATATTGGACGAGTCGCTGACCAGACGGCCCGTTAAGGTAAACTTTTGAACAGAATTTCAAAGATGTGAGTTGCAATCCCCTGTACAGAGTGAACTCTTGCATCGTCCTCATGCCCGATAGGGTTGCGGACTCCTGTGACTGCGTGGCAGCTTGCGCACATATATCAGAATCACGAACAGCATAACACTAGACGGTACTCGGTCAGCCGCAGCTATTACTTAGACAATGGAGGGGCTCGAGGGCGTTTGCACCGCGCAGCTCTCCTGCAGAGTCATCAAAATTTGGTTCGAGGCAGTGCATGCAGGCTGACTAGTCACAGCTGAAACCTACTACCGGTAGTAGACGTAGTACTGGTAGTACCTACTTTTTAGGAGGTTCTTTGGAGACGTTTTGGGCAACTCTGCAGTTTGATTGGCTTATTGGCACCGTCTGCACTCTCTTACTCCCCTATGTTCTCTCTTGTAACTTGAGTGCCAATAATAACGGAACTTCGCAAGACTGTGCCGCTGCCCGGGTGGTTTCTGCAGTCGACTAACTGGTGCAGTCTAGTGCAGTATCCAAGAAGCGCCCGGGTCGGTGGGCACCCGGTGCTTGCAGGCCCCAGGGTCTGCGGTTCTCTTTGCCGGACAGCTTTGCCCTGTTGGTGGTCCGGCTGGTAACACTGCCTGTCACAAGTGGAGATTCCCTGGTGTGAACTCCTCTTTCAGGCTCCTGCGTATTGCAATCAATACCATGTTGCATGGTGGACCCGATCAACCGGATCTTGCGGAGGCTATCGGGGCCTTATCGGGCCGGGCATCTTGAGGATAATAATGACCTACGATTGGTCTCAATCCGCCCGGCGCAAGCTTACCCGGCTCTGCCGCTACAGCCTATAGCCTCCTCGCTTCTAGTTGCGGTAAAACCGGCAGGGACTGGCCGCTTGCGGAAATTAATACGAGGGTATCAAGAACCTCTACAGAACCCCAAGCGGGCTCCTAGCTAGGGAATTTCTGTGTCCTGACTCCTGACTGCAATAACCCCAGCTTCCAGGAAGCACCTAGGCCTACAGGCGACGATACGGTGACCACGGACCACTGACATGTACGGGTTAAACAGGACCTACCTAATTCAGAAATTCTATGCAGACCACAGCACGCACCGTAGTACAACCCGCTACAGTCTGGACTACCGGTACCTGCCTGAGTTGTCCAGCTGTCGCCGACTTCACACTTCTGGGCTACCCACAACAGGCAGGAAGTCCGAAGAAGTGCACTAGGACCTACGGTACCTACGGACCGGTAGCCAACTCAGGACTGTGATTGGCTGAGCCTGGAGTATATCAGGCTTGTCAAGACCAAAACATGCCCGGCATGGGCCTGGCATACACCATCCCGTTTTGAAAGGTCAGGATATCCTTGTACATCTCTGAGAGCATCATAGTCTGTGCGGCAATAGTATATGGGCAATCTGATCAATGTCAATGTTGCCAGAGTAAACACACGAGTATGATTGAACATGAAAGCAAGGATCTGAGAACTTTGCTGACGTTTATGCATGCTAAGAGATGGGTGGCAGGAACGAAGTGCTTTTAACGCTCTAGCAACAACCCTCAATTCAGTTCACAGCGTGTCATATAAGGGGCATATAAGCAGGTTCGAAATATCTCTCTCCTAATCTAGAAGTAAACCCTTATGTCTGACCAGAGATAGAAGCGTGTTCTTGGTCACTACAGCTAGAATAGAGTGAATAGGGCTGCTGAGAACTTCTTAGGGACAGAGGATGAGAGCTGGCTGCTGCTTAAGGCAAGTTTTGAATGATATCATGATCATGATAGAAGCAAAAATGAGCAAGCATTTGAAATCAGGTAAGATCATAGCTGCCATCTTGCACATAACAAACATAAGAAAGCAAATCTAACCAGCCAGACAGTCAAGCAAGGCGTTGATGCTCTCTAAGGGCTTTAGCGTTGATCAGTATCACACCTGAAAGAAGGAGGCCGAGAGATGACGTCAATGTCGATGTTGCCGGACCGCTCATGTTGTTGCTTGCAGAACCACCGACTATTTGGACTTTAGATGGTGCGCTGCTGCCAGCTCTCATCCGTGTTTCTTCACTTCATGGTAGCTGCTAGCAAAACTTTGCTTTGGGGAAAAGAGAAGGCAAGAATCTTGCCTTCTTCTTTTCTAAATGTCTGTTCCAGCAAAAGGTGATTTTACCACGGATTCTGAAAGCGGGGTAACGTTTTACTACTTCGAACTCAAAAGCGTAAGTTCGACAGCCTGAAAAGTATATCTATAGCACCTAGAGACGATGCAGAACGTCTCCACCGTTACAATTATCAGATTGCAAGCTTTTGATTGGGCGGATTCTATCAACCAAATCAAAGCCAGGCCTTGATCTCGAAGCTGGATGCGAGAGATGAAGAGATGCGGGGGCAGAGTTTAGGCTCGGAGTTTGATTGGCAACAATTCGATCATCCCGACCGTCGATTCTGAGTCTGACGGTTCTGTACCGTCATTCAGCCTGACCGGGCTGTGTACGGTTCCGACTCGGACGTCCGGACGGAGTGAGTGCAGGCGAGTCCGACTTTGTGCCCGATTGGACGCAACTACCGTAGTATGGCCAAGTCGTATCCATGAACCCTATAGCCTATAGGTAGTCCACCAGTACTACCGTACTTATTCGAATATCCGCAAATTTGCGAATTTTCGACGTTCGTAGTTAGTCGAAAATTACGGTTCTCTGCTAACGAGAACGCTAACCCGATTCGCGGCTTTTCAAGCCGCGCCTCTTGTGACTTCGTCTTCATTCTGTCGCTCTGCAAGACGAAGTCACAGCGCAAGGAGGACGGCGCCTCCTCGCTTCCCCTCGAAAGCATCTGTTTGTTCCTCTTTTGCTTGCTTCCCATGCTTTAGCACCATTGAAGCTTAGTGACTTGCTCCAGGTTCCTTCATGCAGAACCGTTGGACGTTCTGAAAGACTGGCAATTTGTAGCTTGCTTACAGCTCCAGTTCGTCAGATCATCCTACTTCTTTTGGTGCTTCGAGCTTTCGTATCATCTTAGTGCTACTTTTGGTCCGTTCATCAACTACAGCGAGAGTTTCTTGCCCCATGCACGATGGCTGGACCTGGAGATGATCACTCTGCTCAGGAGACCACTGGGATGACTCCAGAGGACTTTGCGAAGCAGGCCAGGGAAGCAACCCTCCGCAACGAAGCTCTATTTTCCAAGATCTCCCAGCAGCTGTCTGAGCATGCAACACAACAAGCCGCACATCTGGCCAAGCAGTCCGAGAAGATTGATCAACTGCAGTCCCAGATCCAAGCCAAGACTGCTCCAAAGAGATCTGATCGCATTGGGAATCCTGAGGTGAAGAAGCACATGGAGCCGTTGGAACAGGCACAGCATGTCATCTCTCAGGCGAAGTCTGTCTTCGAGGATCATCTGGATGGAACTTCGCCCCTGTCTCAGCTCTCGGAAGATCAAGTCGCTGCCCTCAAGAATCAGTGCGATGAAGGTGAGAGAGCCATTTCTGACCGCATGCAGTTTCTTGAGGACTGGGATTCAGAGGGGCTGGAGATTGCGTCTGAGATGCTGCGTCTGAGGGATGAGGCATCCAAGGACCCCGCAGAACTGAACCTGGTTTCTCGTGCTCGGAAATCCCTGGCTGAAAAACGCAAGGCTTCAGAGGAAGCATCCAAACCTCCCAAGGAACACAAAACTCAACAGTACCAAAACCCTAGCAGAGGCAACTTCCAGAACAGAGGCCGCTCTCCCTCTCCGTCTCCGTGGTTCCATCCTCCTCAGCCTATCCTGATGCCTGCTCCCCTGCCAGTTCTCCCACAGCCAAGCCCTGTCCCATCTCCCATCTACCAGAGCCAGTATTTCCCTTCCAACCGCACCCCCTCTCCTGCTCCTGGCCTCCCCCCTCCTGCTATTCCTGCCCCTGTTCCTCGCGCCCCAAGCCCCTCCATGACTAGTGGTCGCATAGCAAACCTCCAGTGCTGGTCTTGCCAACAGTATGGACACGTGGCAGCAACTTGCCCTAACTCAGCTAGCATAGCAGCCAACGCTAGTCGAGGTTACTTCTAGATCTCAGCGCTTCGGTAGTCATGACACAAACCGAGTAATCAGTCGAGTTCTGTTCCTAAGTGCTTGTGGAGAGTTAGCTGCCAGAACATTGAGGGTTTGAAGTGAGCAGAAGACTTTATAGGGTACCTTTGAACAGATGTACTTGTAATGGTCCAGACCTTCAGTGTAATACTTAGAGCTGCGGATGAGGCAATGCCTAGAACACCACTGTAACATTTGCATCGTTTCACCCTGATTGTATTAAGCTCTCCACCACATTTCAACTCTCATTGCTTGCATCGTCTTTTCAATCTCTTCGCCTCGTCATAGCCAATGATTCTTCTGTTCTTATTTCCCCTTCAATGCTTGCATTACTCCCCATTCTAGTTTTCGTTCTGACTCTATGAGGCTGCTAAAACTTACTATAGGATTCTTTTGGCATGTCCTGAAGGCTGATATCTTTGTTCCTTCTTTTCAATCTCACCTCCTTCGCTTCTTCAGTGGTTTCCATCCCTTCCGTTCCGTTCACATTCCGCTCAACCGCTCTGGCTTTCCGTTCGCAAGGTGCCTCGAGTCCCTTTAAAACCAATTTCCTCCCTTGTTTCATCGCTTTTCGTAATTCGTTCAGTCGAAGTTGATGTTCGTATCCTGCATTTGTTTTATCAATCTTTAAACAATTCTGTTTATGTCCGTTCCTGTTTCTCCGTTCCGTTATTTTCTCCGTTCCGTTTACGTTCCGTTGATGTTGACGTTATCGTTCCGTTGCAGATTTTTCTTTGACGATTAGTATCAATCTTCAGTCCGTTCAATTTCCAAACACTTCCCAGCTTCAGGGGGATACCTCGTTCTTGTTTTCCGGTTACAGTTTCTTTTCTCATCCCTTTCCGATTTCGAGTTCGTTCCGTTCACGTTGAACGTTTCTTCCGATTTTCACCCCGCTCTAGTTCGTCCGTTTTCTGCCCGATTTTCTTCAGTGTCTTCGTTTCAGTCGGCGTCAACCTTGTCGCTGTCGTTGCTATAGACAGACTTTCCGGTTTCACCAGTTCTCTCTTCTCTGCTTTTCACGCCCCGGTTTTTGCTCCTCTAGTTTAAATAAGCGCTGCCACGTGGCAGGCTGTGATTCGTGCTATTTGGGAAGCAACGTTTGCTCCCAATTGTTGTACCCATATCGATCGAACCTGAGCCGCTTGCGTATCTCGTCTTCTTTGGCAGCGCTTCGTGTCCCTCGTCGTTAGAAGGAGAAATTTTGCTCGGTTTCCATCTTTCATTTGTCCTGCCTCGGAGAGGATGCTCTCTTGAGAGTTTCATCCCATAGTCTGAATCTATCCTGGCTGATCCGAGGCCCGTTCAAGCTTCTTCTGTGTTTCTATTTTGTGATTCCCGTTCTCATGTTTCGGTTCTCTTCCTTTCTTTCCGTTGTTTGCAGCCACTGAGGAGTCTTTGCACAAACTCGCCGACTTGACTGATGCCGCCGAATTTGAGGGGTTCCGCGATCCGGCTAAGAACGCGGCTGCGAAGGAGTCCGCCCCCAAGCGCGAGCCCTACCTGCGTCACAGGCTCCGCCGTCATGTCGAGTTCTGGCAGTCCTTCGTCACCTCTAGCTTTGTGATGGGAATTCTGCTGTCTGGCTATATGCTGCCTTGGTTATCTGGCCCCCCAACTGAGCCTCACCGCTTTCCTAACCATCCGTCAGCCTTCGAGCATGCCAGCTTCGTCACGGATGCCGTCAGCAGCCTCGCCGCGACCGGCACAATTCAGCCTGTTTCCGACCCCCCCTTCCTAGTTAGTCCTCTAGGAGTCGTACCTAAGGCGGAAGACAAGCTGCGCCTCATCTTGGATCTTCGTTTTCTCAATCAATTTCTTCAAATTACGAAATTCAAGGACGAGTCGATCAGGATGATCTCGGAGCTGTGCCTGCCCAAGGACCTCCTGTTCACCATCGACCTCAAGGCGGGGTACCACCACATCGACATCTTCGAGCCGCACTGGAAGTACTTAGGCTTCCAGTGGCGGGGCCAGTATTACGTTTTTACACAACTTCCTTTCGGTCTGGCGCCTGCGTGCTACGTTTTCACGATGGTGATGCGCCAACTCACCAAGTCCTGGCGCGCTCGCGGGTATTGTCTAGTTCATTACATTGACGACTTCTTTTTTGCCTGCCGAAGCTCGGCCGAGTTTGCCCGCGTCCAGGCGTGCGTACTTGCAGATCTTGCGGCTGCTGGCTTTGTGGTTTCTAAGGAGAAATGCCAACTCAAGAGCAGCCACGTGGTGAAGTTTCTTGGTTTCGTAGTGGACACCCTGTTCGGTCATTTTCGCCTGACAGCGCTGCAAAAGAGCAAGCTGCACTCCGCCATCGAGGCGTGCTTCCGCAACCCCCGGTCCGTCCCTGCGAAAACCGTCGCTCGCGTTACAGGCCTGATTACCTCCCTCTTGCTAGTTACAGGGCCTATCTCGGGTCTCTTCTCGCGCTTCTTGCATCGAGCCTTAGCTACTCGCTCTTCCTGGTACAGCAAAGTGCAGCTCGATAGCGCAGCTTTAGGCGAGCTTCTTTTCTGGAAGGACCGGCTTCCTCGCTTTGAAAGCCGTGACATCTGGCGTAAGCACTCCGTGCTTCGCGTTCTGTTTTACGACGCCGGCGGTCAAGGTTGGGGCGGGCATTTGGAGATTGGCTCTGAGCAGCACGAGGCGCACGGTTCCTGGGAGGCACACGAGGTGCATGGCGTGGCTTCGTCCACGTGGCGGGAGCTGTCTGGTCTTCTCCGGTTGCTTCGCGCTTTTCGACCTCTCCTAATCGATTGCACAGTCATCGCGCGCGGCGACGCGCTGAACGTCTTCTCTATCCTGTCCAAGGGCGGTTCTGCTAAGGAGCATTTGCAATCAATCTGCATCGAGCTTTTTGCGTTCTGTTCCGGGCAGCGGATCGAGCTTCGACCGGAATGGCTGCCGAGAGAGGAGAACGCGCGCGCGGACTACTTGAGCAAAGTTCGTGATGTTGACGACTTCGGGCTTTTTGCGGAGGCTTTTGCTTTTGTTTCAGCGCGTTTTGGTCCGTTTACGGTCGATCGGTTCGCCAGCGAGCACAATGCAAAGCTCCCTAGATTCGACGCGTCTTACTGGTGTCCCGGCGCGGCGGCCGCGAACACTTTCATCCAGGATTGGGGTGGCGAAGAGAGAAACTATTGTTTCCCTCCACCGAATCTCGTCGCTCCGACGCTTCGGCACGCGCGCGCGTGCCGCGCGCGCATGACGCTCATTGTGCTCAGCTGGCGCTCTGCTCCGTGGTGGCCGCTCCTGTGCGGCAGCGTGGACTCCGGCCGGGGGTTCGCACCGTTCGTTCGGCAGCAGCTCTACTTTCCTGCGGGGCGCGAGGTCCTGGTCCCCGGTCGTGCGTTGCGTGACCGGTTCTTTGGGAAAGGCGTTCCCATTTCCGACGTGTTCGCACTTGACATCGACTTCCGCGCTCAGGTTAGCGTCCTTTTGTCGTCGCTCAGTCTTTCCTATTCTTATTCCTTTGCTTAAATTTTTGCAGATTGGTTTAACTTTGAAAGCTGGGACCTCCACGCGGCCGGTCTGCCGTCCGCCGACCCGGAACTTGCCAGACTGTCTGTCGATCTTCACGATGCCGCCCTGCTTTGCCGCGCTGCCTCCACGTTTCGTACCTACTCTGGGCCCTGGAAACATTACAAGCAGTGGTGCCAAAAGAAGGGGGTCCCCGCTTTGCCTTCCAGCCCCTTGACAGTCGCGCTCTACATGATGCGGCTTCTCCGCACCGCCAACACTCCTTCTCCTTTGATGACGTTCTCTGGCGCAGTGTACCTGAATCACTCACTTGCTGGCCTTCCGTCCCCGACGAACCACCCTCTCGTTCAAATGGCACGCGAGACGGCCCGCCGGATCAAAGTTGCTGGTAAAAACCAGAAAAGGCCGTTTCTCGCTTCACAAATCCGTCGCCTTTTTGAGCTTTGGGGTAGTTTTTCAGCCAACCTCCACCAACTTATGAAGCTTACTGCCATCACCCTTTGCTACACATCATTCCTGCGTTACGACGACCTGGTTGCAATTCCCTGGCAGTCTATCAAGTTCGTCGCTCAGTCCCACATGGAGCTCTTCATTCCGGACAGCAAAACCGACCAGTACCGCAGGGGCGAGACGATTTACATCGCTCGCTTGGGTGGTCCATTCTGTCCCGTCAGCTTAGTCCAACGCTTGCTCGAGGTCGGCCAGTACCGCCTTTTTGGCAACGGTTCCCTGATTCGCTCAACGCTGATTTTCCCTCCTAGCCAGCGCATCAAGTCTACCGCACCGTGCTATTCTACCGTTCTTGCTTGGTTCAAGGAGGCAGCTTTTGTTTCCGGTCTCGATCCTCAGTACTATGGCACCCACTCGGGCAGACGCGGCGGCGCAACTGGCGCCGCTGCTAACGACGTCCCTGATCGCCTTTTCAAGGGCCACGGCCGCTGGCGCTCTGAACGTGCAAAGGACATGTACGTGAAGGAGAAGCTTCAGGCGAAACTTTCAGTGACCCGGAACCTTGGCCTTCAGGAAGATATTCCCATTGCCCAACTCCGCGAGTTTGAGCGCGAAGCCTGTTTGATCTGATACTGTTGTTGTTGCATCTCAGGTACGCCCTAGTCCTCTTCTTTATTTCATTCCTTCTTGTTTTCCTGCTTCCTTCCACCTTCCTCATTTCCCATAACCTCCTCTTAACCTCACTCTAAACCCTTTCCGTGCTGCTGTGTTCTGTGACGCCTTGCACGAGCCACTTGCCAAACCTCGTGCTTCATCACATCTCACTGTCATTCGCTGCAGTGCACTTGCAGTGCACTGCTGCTCATTCGCAAGTTCTCGTTTATAGCAGAGAACCTGGAATTCGAGTGTGGAGTCGGAGTCAGTGTGACGGTCCAGGGGTTCTGGCGGGGCGCCAAACGGGGCGCAGAGCGCCCCCGGGCAGATCCTGGCGCCCCAGGGCGGCAGCCCGGGGCGCCAGAGCGCCCCGGCCCGAAGCCCCGAGGAACTATCTGGCCTGGGCAGGGCGGCCGGCCGCGCCCCAGGGTCGCGGCTGGGCACCCCGGGCCGGAGCCCCGAGGCGCCAAAGCGCCTCCGGGCAAAATCCTGCTAGAAGAGTAGCCACGGTACGCCGTACGGTACTCCTAGTCGGCTGGCTGGCTGGCCAGCGCCTTGTCGCCACTAGCGAACCATATCTGCAGAGTGCATAATGCAGCTGCACCTGCCTGGGAAATTTGCCTGTCTGCGAAATAACCTTCAACCTTCGAAGTTCGCGATTCACCGGGCACCTACTCGATCTCAATTTCAGGTTGACTTACCGTATATGAATTGATGGCAAATGTTCACATTTATCATTGACTTGTGGACAGTGCTCGGGGACAAGAACAAAACCAGAACCCTCAACCCAGAATTAACAAGCTCCACGGTGAGTCCACACCCGTACCCACCCTAACCCCCAAAGTTCAAACCAACCAGACCTGTCTCCCGGGCGTCCTCCTTGATAAACAACTTGATTGAACATGGAGCCACGAAGCCTGTTTCTTTGTCTCTCGAATACCTATCACCAGGTTCCTCGGGAGGGCCTGAAAACAGCTACCGGTCCGTCTAGGCCGACTCATGAGCTAGAGAGCAAGACTTGGTATTCTCTCCCGGAACTTCCGAACACAATCCAGGAGTGAAAACCGTGCATGTCAGATTCCTGTTTTAGCTAGCAGGTACCGTGAACCGAAGCGTTCATGACTGCCAGCCTGCATGCCGGGCACAGGCTGGCGGGAGAGCTTTGAGAGTCGACCCTGCGTTTTAGGACGGCTGGCCAGGGGGCTCGAGCCTGCCTGGGTCTACCTACATAGGCGACTGGCCTGTCTAGGCTCTACCTACCGGTATTTGCGGATAAGCACAGAACCTACTAGTACTAGGCTATAAAGCAGCAGAAGCTAGCTACGTATAGGTAGTACGACGCCGTTTCTACTACGGTACAAATAAAAACAATCTACCGTACCTACCTAGGACCTAACGTAGACTGTAGTACCGGTATTATACGGTTAGGTAGGTACAACAAATTAGGTAGGTACCGTCTTAGTGCCCACTGCCTTGGTTCTTAGCTCCGCCGCCGTTCGCCTGCATGGGGTATTATGGGGGGCGACTGGGCAGCGCTGAGCGGGCAAGTCAGCGTGGATGTCGTCAGCGTGCGAACAAAATGTCGCCAGAAAACATATGCATAACGACACGGCATGATGCCTGAGCAGTACGTGAGGATGAGCAGTGCCGAATGCTGAGGCGGCGGCGTTTTAGCCCTCCGAACAGCTTTCAATATATATGATCAACCACGGCCAACTTGCCGGAGGAGAGCTTTCAGTACGCTTTCAGTAGGGCTGCAGATTGCTTATGAGCAATGTTCACAAAGCAGCTGGACGCAGCTAGTATGCGCAGCGTTAAGCATTACCAGCCTGTAACTGCGCCTTACATGCCATAGAGTGACTTGATGACGTAATAGTAAGGCTATAGCTGCAGTCACGGACATTCAAGACGCTCTTGCACAATTGGTACAAAGGAGCTGAGTTCGTCGCACCACCCGTCATTTCTCACTTCTCAAACTTTCTCAAGTGCTCCTCCAGCTACAGCCCACCATCGCACCAAATCAGCTGAAAGCGCCACTGGCAGCCAGCTATGAAACCCGCCCACTCTGTGCTCCTCTTCGGGGCCCTCCTCGCTGTTGCCGCAATTGCGGACGCCACCACCACCTGTAGTTCTGGCCGTTCTGGCAGCGGCACGTGCAAATGTGATGGCAGCGGTTTCGGCGTCCGGGGCAGCTGCAAGACTGAGAACAACTGCAACACCAACAAGAACTTCATTTTTGGAGCGTCTAACACCTGCCAGTGTAAGTCCGGCTACTATAAGTACAGTTTGACTACTTGCAAAACGTGCAAAGATGCGGCGCATACCTCCAAGACAACTTCATCATGCACACCGCCAGTAACCTGCCCCAGTGGCCACAGAGACGGGGGGTCAGGCAAGTGCACGTGCAACTCCAATATCCCCGCCGAATTGAGGACCTCGAAGGACACTTGCAAGTGCAAATTGGGCCAAGGGAGCACCGGTGTCTGCGGCGACCCGGTAAGCAATCTTACCGCCTTTATTTTGCTGTTGTCTTTGGTCCTGATTGGTGCAAGTCTGCTCAAGCATTGCCTTGCCAGTCAACCTCTGATAAGGTGTCCCTTGTCAAGGGGATTTTTGCCAAAATATGGTATGAAGCAACAATAGGTGCACTTGGTGGCTTGGTGGCCAGAACTGCCAGTAAAAGGAAAAGCTGGGCTGCAGCTAAGCACTCATGCAGGCACACAGCTTTGGAGCACACCCAGCTGATTGAGTAGGTTTCACAAGTTCTAAAGCGAAAGGCGCTTCCTTTGTTTGGGATGCAGAGCTGTGTCCTTTCGTCTCTAAGTTCTTTCTGCCAGCTTGGTTGTTGACAAATGCACTCGCCGCTCCTTTGCAGCATTTCATCGGAGGCAATGGCGTCAGGTACGACTTCCACGGTGAGTACTCAGCAGCTCCTTTCTTCTTCAAGGGTTGTTGTCTAGTAGACACGCACACGCTTTGACAGTAGGCTGCAGTCAGAGACCGGAAGTCTGTCAGCCAGCTGTCCTCGCGAATACTGGTACAAGGCTTTACATATATCACCTTGAATGAAATGTTACTCTGCTTGTACACATAATTCGGTCGAATCAACTTTTCTGCTGGGGTGTGAGACCAAGCATCCCTCAGATTCTGTTTGAGAGCCTTTCAGCAGACCTGTGTTATGTGAACACTTGCCTTCTAATACGGCCTCCTCACGTGTTTGCTCCGTCACAGGATGCGAAGTCCAGGGTTGTCCACACTTTGACGAATTATTGACCAGGCAGCTCACAGTCTTCCCCTTCTTCTGCAGGTGTCCCTGAGAAGTCCTTCTGCCTCATTTCCGACAAGGCCTTCCACCTGAACGCTCACTTCATCGGCCAAAACGGCCTAGAGACTGGCATGGACGGCACCTGGATGGACCAGCTTGGATTTGTCTTCGTGTCTGGCAGCAAGCAGCACTCCCTCTCCGTGCACCTTGTCTCTGTAAGTTCCCTACCTGCAAATTGCAAACTACATGAAGTGATCTCTATGAGAGGGATACATACTTGGAAATCAAAGCTCTCTTGGGTTTGTACCCCTCTCCTGCTTGCTTCAAAATGAGGGTCAGGCAAGACGAGATTATATGCTAGTGGATGCCAATCCAAGCATACAACACATGGTGATCTACAAATTTTGCTGCTTGCTTCCTCAAAATGTGCTCTCTCAAGTGCATGCCTCTGCATGCTTTTCAAAACACCATCTTTTAGAAGCCTGAATCAGCAGTACTTTTCTTCCTCTCTTCTTCTGATTGCCTCCGACTGTCTACATATGTGACGGCCCTGCCAATCCTCCCCCAGAACAGAGCGCCTGACTTTGTTCACAAAGCAACTGACCTTTACTCCTCCTTTGCTGTCCAGGAGGAGGACTTCGCCAACGAGGTTTCAGACGTCTTCGTGGTGGCTTACGACTCTTCTCCCATCACTGTCAGCCTCCCCACCAGCGGCAAGAACGTGTGGACGTCCGATGACGGCCTTGTGACCATCTCTCGGACGTCCGAGGTGGCCAGGCTGACCCTGACGCTCAAGGGCCACTTCCAGACGACTCTTACCGCCAGCGAGCACGAGTTCCCTGACGGTCACCACATCGACTTCGATGTTGACGTCATGAACATCACCAGTACGTTATCTCACCCAAAAACACACGCCAGAGTATTATTGCCATTCTGGTGACTTCTCTAGGCTTGCAGAATCTTCAGTTCCTTCGTTTGCCGCGCTTCGCTCTTCAGTAGGTCCGTTAGTCCTTCCGAAACCGGCTAGCCATGAAACGGCTATCTGCAAGGGTTGGGAGTGCTGTAGCAAAAGAAATGTTTGCAAGCAATTTCCAACCTCTGCTCAAGAGCGCCTGCCTCGATCCTTTTCTCCTTGTTTCGGTGGCTCGCTTTCCTGGCCCCTCACTCGCTTTCCGCTGGCCTCTCTCGCTCACTTCTCTTATTCCATATACTCAAAGTACTGTTCCCTTTTCTTGCAGACTCTGCTCATGGCATCCTGGGGCAGACCTTCCAGCCGGAGCGCCTCCACGTGGTTGCTGGCAGCGCCGAGAAGAAGATGGACCAGGCCGACGTTGTCGAGGGCGGCGATCACGGTGAGCCCTCCGTTCCACGTGTGTCGCCAGTTGTTGGAATAACAGAACAGATGAAAACAAGGCCTTTATGTCAACTGTGGCTCACAGCCTCGCATGGTGCCGTCTGAATTTGGACAAGACTGGCGCTACATACGTATGCAATCTTTTCGCCTTTGTGCGCTGGTGAGGAGTTTTCTTACGTTCTCTGGTTGAAGACCTTTTTTAAGAAGCTTTGGACCAGGCATCAGGCTCTGCAAAGCCGATCAGCGAGCTCTAAGCAAGAACGCCAGGTCGCAAGGGCGTGTCTAGAGCTTAAGGAGGCTCCCTCTCTCTTTGACGCTGGTCGAGAAGCCCTGTCTTGCGTCACCACCTTGAAACAGAAAGCAACGTGATGATGAGCGGACTCTTTCTGACCTTCTGTTGCTCTATTCATGTCCGCACTTTCTGCTATCATCTCTCTTCGCTGATTCTAATGTTTGTGCTCCATTGGAATCCCCGAGAGGAAGAAGACTTATACAAGCTCTCGCTTCCTATGCAGACTACATCTCCACCAACCTGATGGCCACTGACTGCAAGTTTTCCCGGTACTCTGCCCCGAGCCTCATCACCCTCACCCGCCGCCTGATGGGAGGAGCCCGGTTGGAGGAGCCCGTCTACTCCCACTCCCTCAGCTGCGCCAGCGACGCCGGCTATGTCAGCTGCATGATTTAATGTCGAGCTCGTTCGAAAAGTTGTTGTTGAGTAACGTTGTTGGGTTGCCTTTGAGTCGTCATTTGTGATGTTTAAGCAGAAAGCTTAGGGGGGGATTCTCAAACCTCACGAGCTTAGGTGGATCAATCTTGGCTTTTCAGGTGGTCACAGAAGCATGGAATTAATCAGAAACCGGATGAACTTTCTAAAGTACATCGCAGATCGACTTGTAAGTAGATTACTTGTCATATAGCGTACAGATAGATGGAAACCTTCCTAGATGTCGTCAAAGAAATCTGCAGAATTTGCCAGATGACGAGGTATCAAGGTACCTCAAAAGGTCCTGTAAACAAAGCGTGTGCCGGTGACTTTAGATTGGTTAAGATTTGGGTGATTTCTTGTTGAATTAGGCGACCTGATCATTCCGTGTCAGAAAAGTGGGTGCTTAATCATGGCGTGAATACCTTGTGTACATGGAAAGCATTAGAATTGACTGGTCTTTTAGGATGGTATCATCATGTCGTGCATGCAAATTTCAGGACTCATGGTCACACTGTTGTGTCGTGCAAACGGGCATCGGGCATGCAACTTAGCACTGCAGGACAATTTTGACTGCGTGAAATATTAAGGCCGTCTTAAGGACAAGTGATTCCCAATAAGTAGTACTAATGCAGGTGCAAATCTCATTGTAGATAATGATATGTAGATTCTCGCTGTAGATATGCAGATTCGGCGACTCGCCGGACTCAAGGTGCACATATCTGACGATCAAAGCTTGCAGCTTCTAACAAAGTTCGGACACGGCTAGCTTCAGGTAGGTAAATTGTCTTCGTGCAGTCAGTAACTCATGTGTCTTATGAGAAAGCGGCCCGCTACATTATGGGTCATGCATCCGACTCATGAGCTTCAGGAATGATGTGCTAAGTGCAAACGCAGATCTTACATGCTTCCGATGATTTCACTGCATCTTTGGCTATACTGAAGATGTGTGGCCGCAGGGCAGCGCACGCTTTGTTAAGTGTTTGCCAGGTCAGGGACGACTATATATTCTCTGGCGGGGGCCAACTTTCGGGCCGTCCTTTTCTTTCGACCGATCTATGAACATGGTACACCAAAGACGTAGCTATGGCGACATCTCGTTGGTCAAGACCTTCGCACACGTCCTGCAGGCTCAGCCGACCTTTCCAGACCTTCTCCGAGATCGCCTCCCCCAGTCGAGGACTGCTCCTCTTGAAGCTATCCAGCATCTCAAGCACGCCTGCCACTGTGCCCTCGTCCTGACCACCCCACGCATGCTCTGCGATCAGCTTCAGAGCGGGGTCTAAAGACTGAATGAGCTCTTCGATGGACATCATTCCCGTTTCCGTTTCTCCGGCTTGCTCTGCTTTCATCGAAAAGATGCTGCCGTGCTCTCCGTACCGGTCCGCTCCTTCAGAAGTACTCTTCTCCTCGGTCTCGTCCGTCTCCGCCGCACTCCCCAACGTAGGAGCCTCCTTCCCCTCTACCAACCCGCCACTCCCATCCCGCCCGGAGCTTTCCGGCGCTGACGGAGCTTCTCTGATCGACACGTCAGCACCCTCCCTGTCACCCTCTTGAACGGTGTCCTCCTCACGTTCGACCGAATCGTCGTTAGTGTGGTGCTGGGAGTGAGACCGCTTGATCAGGCGGGCCTTTTCGCGCAGCTCTTCTTCGCTCTCGCCCCCGTGGATGTGAAGCGCCCCCCAGCTGCCAATGGACCAGCGGAACGACTGCGCCACACCGCACTCTACAGAAAAACAAAATGTAAGATTGTTAATGACTGCTGGAAGCGAAACCCAGCAATTAATACCAGTGCGAAGTCGTTTTCTGGACGACGGAGGACGCTAGCGAGTGAGAACCTGAAAAGCCGTCTGGTGAAGATTGAAGATGAAGGGCGGAGAGCATTCTTTGTCAAAACGGAACTCAGCATCGAGGTGCCTGAAGCTGACGTAGTTTCTTCATTCAGAATAGGAACGTTTCCAAAAGAGTTCAAGTCCTGCTCATTGGAGCCAACATCACTCGTTGTGCAAACAAGTAGGCATCAAAACACCACAACAATGAGAACTTAGCTGGTTTCGAAAGATGCAGATCAGTTCAAGCAGAAGTGTCTGGAATATGGCATTGGCAAGACCAGACACAATCTGGACTAATCAGCAAGCGCTGCATCGAACCTCCCACTCAAACAACTGCTTATGTAACCACGTTGAAGGGCATTCAACTCCAAGTTGATTGTAAAGAAGGATGACTCGGATTCTCTCGGATTGATCTGCAGATAGGAACAGACCACATGCTCTACTTCCACCAACAAGCTCTGACCTTCAGCCAAGGCACCCAAGTTTTTGCATGTGCGCTGACAGAAGAGAGAACTCACCTCTGAAGAATTGGCTGAAGTCTTCCCGCACCTGCTTCTTGCAGTCCCCGCCCGTTGTCCTGAACTTCAGCTGCACTTCCCGGATGGCCTCTCCATCTACCACAAAAAAGTTCAGCGCATAGGCCGCCGTTTTCGGGTATCCCTTCGCCTGAGGCTGTATTGAATCTAAAAAGGCAAGAAGCTGCCCTGCGGATCTTGTGTTGGTCTCCAGCATCTTCTCAAACTCTTCTTCAGACTCTACCAAAACTTTCTTAGCTCCCAGGCTGTCTATCATAGGAGCAAACTGCCTGAGACACTCCTCGAACGTGGGATCTGTTGACTGCTCAGAAGAAAGACTTGGGGAGGAAGCTGAGCCAGTGCGCACTTTCTTCGGCATGTTCCTTTTCGGCCCCCTAACTTGCGCTGCCTTTGAAGCAAAAGCACGGTGTCCCAGAAGCTGAATAAGACACTCAGAGTTTGTGGCTGGTCGATGAGCATGATTTTCAGCTCGGAAAGCGCCTGATGAGAGGTGGTGCGATCTCCCCCCTTTGCCCGCTGAGGACAGCGACCGCAGCGTCTTAGGGAAACCGCTGCTCAGCAGTTTGTCAAACGCATCCTTTGTCGACTCAGCTCTAGAACTCCCATCGTGGGCGGAAATGCCTTTTCCTTTTGTGGAGTCTGAGGGGTGAGTGACAATGTAAGTGGGCTCTGGTTGATAGCTGAGTGGTGGGTTCGCAGTTTGTGCGAAAGAAGCTTTGATAGAACCACCCGAGTCTGCCTCTCCTTGGGTACAAGCTGGTGCTTCGAAATGGACATGAAGAGAGCTGATCTGTTTGAAATGCTGATCCCGCTGCTTGGCCCCACCAGAAAGCAGCAGCTTGCCCCCAGCTCGGAGGCCCCTCGACCACATTCTCGAGATGCTATGCAGCTTTGTTTAAAAGATTGTCGAGCCAATGTGCTCACGACCGCTGAGACTGCCACACCTAAGACTGCATTCGATCAGTCAAATTAATGACCAGACGAGGAACAAAATGCTGCCACTAATTGGTCACAACCGGCCGCTATCACCTCATGTATACTTTCTCAGATGAATTGGCAAGCGGCAGAATCAAATGTCCACCCACAGAAACGTTTGCTGATGACTCATTGCAGGGAACTTGCTGCACAACGCTGTGCACAGGGTGGTGAAAACACTTTCCTGATTGAAAGAAAACCATAGCAGCTGATTTCTGGAAATTCAAAACCAGCTTCCACTGATTAGTCGCCGCGAAATTAGCCGTTCCTCCAAGCGGTCAACCGAGTAAATAGGTTGTAGAAGGTATTACCGAGCGGGGAAGACGCCCGGTAGCTGGGCTGTTTTGGGCCATTAGTAAGCCCGGAGTATTCCTCCTGCTCTCGCATGCCTGGAAACGATAGAAGCCGGTCAAATAGGCGATGCCGTCAATCCTGACTCCTGAGGCCCAGGCCCAGGCCCAGGGCTGCTCCTCCTCCAGAATCTAGAGACTAGAGCTAGGTATCCACTTCCTCCACTTCCCAAAAGCCCAAATACCAGGGCGCCTGTGCAGCTGGATCCACCTAGGTTCGTCACATAGGTATATACCGGTATGATAAGGTTTGCAGCGGCCAGTTCTTGAGGCTTGTCTTGCTAGCTCGTTCTCTGAGCTGGTGCTGTCCAAATCCGTTTGCTCCTTCCGAACTCTTTGAGGATCTTCTAGTATCTCCAGGCTTAATGGACACTAGCGGGCTTGGGGGCGGAGCGCCAAGTTTCGAGCTCCAGCAATTCCTTGAGGTGAGCATCTGCACAGGGTGCAAACGGCCCTGCCCGTCGGGTTGAAAATTGCTGATTAGATTGTAAAGACTCTTGCTCTCCTTTGCAAAACCCCTCCTGGAGTTATGGTAAGCTGCAAACGGCCTTTGATCCTTTGGTGCCAGGAGATATTCAAAGTTTTGTGTTCTCTGGCACCAACTTTGGTGCCACGCTGCTCATGCACCTCAGAAAGCAAGCGGCCAGGGTACCACCACATAAGAAAAGATTCATTACATCACCTTGTGGGGCGTCTAGAAACTTCTTTCCATCCTTGGTTTTCAAGTCAGAGGCCCCTGATGGGTAGCAACTTGTTAACGTAAACCACATCAAACGTTGAGCTTGATGCACTAGGTGGTGGCGGGGCTGCTGCTGCGCTGGATCTACTCATGGTTAAAGAATGATGACCACTTCTGATGTCAAAGTCGCTACCAAGTTTGCAGTCAACTCATCAAAATGAGTCCTTGGAGAGCAAGGAGCTCTGTATGACGCACTCGGAAGCCCAACTTGCTGTGTTCATTTGACTTTTTTCTCCTTCAACAAGTGATTCTTGAGAGCTGCTGAGTTGCAGAATGAAAGCTAGGTGGTGTTTATGATGTTGCCCAACTGGACTTGTTTTCTATTGAGGATTTCTCTGATCTTACATATGGGGTTCTTCAATCCTAGCGAAACGTGCTCAAGAGGACATGATATTCGATACATAGCTGTTCAAAGGCATCGTCCAAGAGGGCTCTCCCTCATCATCTCTCTTTGTGCTGACAGATCTTATCACTATCTTCTTCTCCAATTGCAGCAAGAGAAGCAGAAAGCGATGGTGAATGAGCTGGTGGCAAAGCTGACGGACTCGTGTTGGGAGAAGTGCATGGGCACACCCGGCAGCAAACTCAGCTCGGGGGAGACGGCTTGCTTCTCAAACTGCGCACAGCGATTCCTTGAAACGAGTCAGCTAATATTGCAAAAGTTTGAACGGATGCAACAAGGTTGAGGAAACTGCAGTTTTCACGACAAAGAAGTACACAGGGAAGTAATCCTGTGGGAATTGGCTGGAAGTAGGGGCAGCATTTTTCGTTTAAGATTCCAGACCTATCCATTCTTCAGCTTTGCAGAGTGAGAGACAATAACGACAAGGGGTGTCGGTTCGTTAGGAAGCAGCACAAATCCAGTCTTCGATGACAACAGTTGCTAGTACTCGCGTGATCAACCAGTGGTGTCAACGGATGTGCTAGTTTGGCACATATTCAGTGCAGGCCCATTGGAAGGACAGTCTCGAAGGGTTGCGAAAGGGAAATCGTACACAATTTTTGAGGATACTCATTATTGGTCGCATGCAGCTGCCCATGCCATCTTAAGTAGCCTGCGGTGAGTCTCACTGAGCAGCCAGCGTGTCGCGAAAACCATAACAACAATAGCGCGCAAGCCATGGGAACAAGCGCCGCGCACCGCGGGCGCGGCACCGTGCATGATCTGCAGACATCCATTGCTGGCACTCGAGCAATTTCGGGAGCGGCCTGATGACCATGTGGTTAAAATGATCGTGTCAAGTTGACAGCTAGCTATAGCGTTTGCTGCCATCATACAAGCCCCCTTAAGTTGGAAACGCATGCTAGTGCACATGTCATCATATAACGTATACTCAGTCGATATTGCCCTATCATCAATCTTATAAAATGAAGGAGATGTGACCATGTCAATTGCTTGCATGCATGCATGTGCACTGCAATCCAGTCCAATCCATATTGATATCATTGGCGTCGGGCAAATCCCTTTCGATGACTGCAAGTCACGGCACATGATTGGGTCTCTTTCACTAATCCGATTGCGTCAGACTGAGTCAGCCGTGATTGCCACGCAAATCAAAGCGTAATTGGCAATTCAACTGGAAGTCCGACATGTATTGATCCATGCAAACAATGGTAAGTTCGATCGAGGCTGAAGGACTGTTGGAAATATTATGCGCACGCCCCCCCCACATACATTTCGATTTTAGGGACCGAGATGCCATCGTCAGATGCCCGCAGGCAATGAAGAATCGCTACACACTTGTTCGGACTGTACACGCTGCCACTTCCACCTCAAATCATTTCACTGAAAAACGCCGCTCTCAAAGAATGTTCGGAATTGCCCGCCCCTCCCCACCCCTCAACACGCTGTCTCACCCGTTTGAAACTCCCCTCTACTTGCCAATCATGAGCATCAACTCCCCTTCGCACACCACTTCCCCGTTGACATACGCTTTCGCGTCGAGCTTTGCGATTCCGAACCGTTTCTGCAGCTTGGTCAGCGTCACCCGCAGCAGTAGCGTGTCCCCGGGGACAACCGGCTTCCGCCAGCGCACGTTGTCCACTCCCGCAAAGAAAAAGTTCTCTTTGCTGCCGCCCACCTCCGGCGAGAGAAGGACGATGCCCCCGACCTGCGCCAGCGCCTGGAGCGAAAAGGTGGGACAAACCATTCAGGGCATGCCGGAAAACAGCTACAAACTTGGAAAAGTTTCCTCACTGCTCATTTTGACTCGTTAACCTTCCGCGACCACTGCCTTCAGGTTCGTCTCATCACAGAATGAAGAGGAGAAAGATCACCTTCATGAGAAAGATATTCCAGCAACTCCCCCAGTCCGCTGGGGAGAATCAGGGAATGAGTATTTTAAGAATTAGAGCACCGCAACACGTTCTGAGCGGCCTTCCACAGCGGCACAGCTCGTATCCGACGGCCTTGAAGCTTCGCACGCTGAAGCAGAAGGGTCAGCTCAGAGGATTAGCAAGGGAACTCTCTGTGCGAACGATGAACCGGCTTGAGCTGCAAACGCCTTGCTAGCTCGCTAATAATAATTGTGCCTGTAAAGACCTCATCCGCTCCCGCATTCACTGCGACGAATGCTCAGGAAGCTCTATCGCACAAATCCGTTCCAAAGGTCCAGCTGCCCATATTTACGACAGAGATGCGAGAGCAAACGAAGGCAGAAGCAAAGAAGTGACAGCCAGACCAGAGAGTTTGATCGATGCTGGCGAGTGAAGACTTTTGGCCGCCTGCTTTTGATGCTGAGAGAGTAGCCCTCTTGACGCCGGGTCGAACAAGCGCCTTCTGGAGGGATCTTTTAGACCCGGAAAAGAATTTACGGGCACTGATCGCCAATCAGTATGCCCACACTCGCTGATGCCTGGCTGCTTCACCGCACACTCCATTCTTGCAGACCCCTTTAGGTTCGCCTGTAGACGTCCTCGTTTGACGGATCGAGAACCAGAACGTCATTGCAATCCAGAATCGTATGAGGACTGCAGACAAACGGTCCCGGTCGCAGCCCGCTTCTTCATCAACCAGCAGGCACTGAACCGTCTCATGTCACTGAACTTCCTCATGTTCGATGGTCCACTCCATGACTAGTCCACGAGGGACCGTTCAAGTTGATGATCTCCAGAGCCTCTTCGAGCGTTGGCTAACTCACCTCGACTTGGAGTACTCCCGGCATAATTGGTCGCTGCGGGAAGTGGCCGTTGAAAAACTGGTCGTTCACCGTTACGTTCTTCAGTCCAACCGCCGTTTTGCCAGGTTCATACTCGATGATCTTATCGACTAGCAGGAACGGGTACCTGCCAAAGAGAACGCTCGCAGATGTGAGCCGAACCCCCGAATTTCGAGTACAAACGAGTCATTCGCCTTCAATTACAAATCTTACTGACATATCTCCGAACTTCAAACGGGGACATTCGATGATGGACAGAGACTGCGTCGAACCCACTGATTGAAGACTGGACGAGCGCCACAAACATCCATTTGCCATCGTGCGAATCGATTTTTGGATCCACTCAAATTGCCGGACCAAGACCATTTTCCAAATGACAAGATAATCATAAGTTGGGGCTTGAAACAGCAACACTGGCACTATGTTCGAAGGTGGTTCTGGGGTCATGATACAATCTAAGCACTGCAAAATCCTTGAAAGGGACAGATGGTTTGGGAAAACCCACCTGTGCGGGAGAATCTCCTTGATCTGGTTGATATCCAAGATCGTCGGATACCGTCCATTCTCTGCAAACAGCCAGCTGTCAGCAAAATGATGTGCACATTGAGAACACGATTCTTTTTGCCCCGCAGACGGGTGCAACTCGGATTGAGTTTCGCTTATCTGCAGATTTGATCAGTCCATTCTCCTGAGGAACTGGAACCCAGGCGGATCGAATATGGCCCAAAGCTCATTCTCACATCGTGCAGATTGGGGCCTGATCATATATGCAAAGCCCTGACATGCTCTTCTGAAACATTTCTCCGGGCACCCTACCATTTTGTCAAGGTGAAGTATGCTTGTCAATGACCTGTGTAAAAGCAGAGCTGAAATCTGTTTGCATCCTCGCATATGAACAGCCCTAAGGTAATCAGTAGCTATCAATCCATAGGCTGCATCGTCGCAACACATTCGCAGCGACACAATGGCCGTCACTATCAGAGTACTCGTACCACCACCAATAGGAAACTTTCGCTTTGGCACTAGCCGTAGGCCATGGTTGTGAAAGTCGCAGGAAAATCCCTGATCGAAGCTCAAACTGAATTTAAACTGTATTAAACCACAAATTGAAGTAAAACCAGTATCAGAAGCCTCAGAAAAGAATGGTGGGGGCCGGATCTACCACCAATTCGAAGAAGAAACCCCTCCAATTCGCCGCATGAGCACGATGTTCCACCTCCAACTCAGCAAGCACTTGCGTAATGCCCCAGCAACCCGAAGTGTACTCATTGCATTTGCTCATGTTGCAGGAGCACAAACAGGCACAAGTCACAAATGCAAACCATCGAGTATGCATCCACATCCCTTGCAGACCTTATCGCGGGAGTGAGCCCACGAGAGTCACCTTGTTTCTCAATAGGGACAGCTGCCTCTTCAACATTTGGCTCTTCCGGTTCAGCGGGCGCAACAGTTGCCGACATCCGCATTGGGCCCCTTGTGATATCCCGTGTGCAAACCTTCTTTCCCCAGCTTCCACTTCGCAGACCACCAAACCTAGGAGCACCCAAAGGGCAGCCTGACAAGCACTCTACAGCTGCAAAGTGTTGTCTGGCGCGGCAGTGCTTTTCGGCACTTTGCTGGTGCAGCCCGCTCAAGGCTGGACTGAAGCACAGAGATCTAGCACACGCCGTCGAGGCCATTGCGTTTGCTATGGCGACGAAGCTACGGTCACTTTCTGATCTAAGAGGAGGGTGTTGCAAAATACTTCTTTCCTCCTTGCTTGTATCTAAATGACGTCCAGTTCGGTGCGCTCCGGCCGTTTGCAAACTCGTGATTCAACCGTCGAAGTGCACCAGCTACTGGACTTTTGGAAATCAATGAAGCGACCTATACACTGGCGATGGTGGACTGCTTCCAAACGTGACAAGCGTCGTCTTTGCGCCACTGTTTCTGCGGTGATCTCTGTATCGAAGTTTTAGAATGTCAAGCTTTGGCACGCAGCAGAGACAGCTCTGCTCTGCTCATGCGGTGCAGCTGCAACAGTAGACTATAATATCGAATATGTGCAAGTGCGATAATAGTTGTGAATGCTTCGATACAAGACTTTCGAATGCTAGCCAATGCTGTGTGTCCGGTGCCACGTACGCATGTGTGGCTGTGCACCCATCCAAGGCATGACGTCATATAAAGGTGCCTCTGAGAGGTAGCAGCGACGAGACCGCCTCAAAGTTCTGCATCAAGGTCGCCGCAAAAAGTGAGACCTTGAGGCTGCCGTAGCGTTCTTGACGCGCGCTCTAGTTGCTAGCGGTAGACCCTGCTGCAGCCTGCTGCCTGCCCACAAGGGCAAATCGCCATTCCTTCGAGATAGCATGTAATAAGAAAGCGCCTGGTATTGCTCAGAAAGAAAAGGAAGGCACGGAAGCCTCTCTCCACGAAACGCACCTTGCCTGGAGTGCTTAGGTCATCATGGCTGCCAGCAACCAGGCTTTGCTGCGACCTGGCGTACGAACGGGAATCTGTAATCACCCTCAGATATCCGCGCATGGCACTTGCAGAATAGGAAAGGATGAGGCTTTAGCAAGGTGGCACTGCTTCGGGAAAGGGCCATCAATAGCTGCCACTACTATAGGCCGTTTCGTGCAATGGAGAACCGGAACAGATAGAGCAGCAAATCATAGTTCTGTGTCGAGTTTGAATCTGCCGGACATCAGTAGACAGAGAAGTTGGCTGCAGGGACGGGCCCTCAAGAGTGCAGGAGTGATGCGGCACCGGACCGAGGAGACTCGATGGCGTGCGTGTGCTGCTATACCAGGTGACCTAAGAGTTGTCTTTTCATCCAATTTGAAAACTCAGTATTGGCACAAGACTTGCAGGTCACTGGTCCAGAGTTGGGCAAGGAACGCAGGTCACGGAGTCCACTTTGAGTACCTTCTCGTCTCACCTTGGTAAGCTGATGGCAGAGCTAAATATCAGATCACATGTCACCGCCAGTAAGTCAAACAGTGTAGTGACAACTGTGCTTGGGGCATAGTGGGTGTGTCAAAATTTTCTTCGATGCCACCCATCAAAAGTAGTGTCCTTGTCTAGCAAGGATGTTTGAAAGCAGAGTCACAGTACCTTGAAAGCCAACGGCTGACAATGACACAACCAACCGAACAAAGCTGCACACTCCTCAGGACAGGACTTATTGCAAGGACAACAGAAAGCATCCATTAATGAGGCCGGAATAAGACATCAACAGCCTTTTCTCACCTTGTGTCGTTTTCTGAGAGAAAAGATGAGTGGCCAAAGTCTCCTGAAGCACAGAGTATTGGCAACCTGACAGTACTTGGAATGATTGGAAATAGCCACCAGTCCTCCACTGAGTTTGCAGTTATCGACGCTCTTGCTGCTCATGAATTCAGCCCTGTTTTAATCCAGTCATCTCTGACTGTCCTGATGGTTCTTCAGGGGAAAGTTTGATGACCAGCCTTCAATGGTAAAACTTGGTAACTGCAACATTGCGCTTTGAGCTTCTTACGCAATCTGTAGCATGAAGGTTGTTCAGTACAGCAACTAAGCGTGGGTAAGAAGATGGGGCTCTGATAGTTCTTCTTCTTTGTCAGATATTGACCCGCCACCTCTTCAAGAGGAGGAAGTCACCCTGCCCGACACAGACGAAGTCAGAGAAACGGTGGCTATAAAGCTGCCTGGCCGGAGGTCACTACAGATACAATTCACGTGCAATGCTTGCGGGACCAGATCAACGAGACTTCTCAATCCGTTCGCTTTTACGAGGGGTACAGTGTTCGTCCAGGTAGGATCGATTCCGTACAGCTGCTCTGCTCAATTTGTTATTGTATTAGAAGATGACCGGTGATTTGTGGGTCTTGTTGCTGCCTTCCTCGCTTATGCTTGAACACAACTTCAACCCAGACACAAGGTCTCACTTGCTGGCCACATAATGTCATCACAAGGTGACGTTGTTTGGAACGATGTAGTGTCAGATGTGAGTAAGGATATTTCCTCTCTGTACGTGACGGATGTTGGAGACTGGTCGGACATGTCCGTTGATTTCCGGATCAACATATCCAGCTGCCCATCCGCAAACGAAAAGTCCGCTGCTATCTTTAAGTGAGCTGTTAACGGCTTTGTTTGGAAGGTCCTTGCTCAAACTAACGAAGATGCTTTTTTATGCAGTGTGCTGGATGCGAAAAGTATCATCAACTAGTCGACAATCTGGGACTTATAAAAGAGTACAATCTTAAAGAGGAGCGGGAAAATGATGCTTTGGCCGCAAGTGGACAAAACGAGGACACTTCTTCGGAAAGCATGTAAAAAAGCAAGCACGTCAAACCATGCGGACTGGCCCTTGTGTTTACTTCGCGACCACACTTGTGACCACAGATCTATCAACTTGCATGATCTGCTTCGCAGTCCGATATTCTACGTTCTGATCATATATAAAGAAAGCATCAATGGCTGTCCAAATGAATGATCACCAGCATGTGCGCACTGAGCATGTATGCTTTATGTTGCTTTGCAATCCGGTCATGCCCCACATGGGCGGGCCGGTCACTACCCAGATTGGATGTGTCTTAGTGCTCGCCCGCATGTTCCGTTAAAGCTATATCAAATTGAAAAATCTTGCAAGCTATAGAGGGAGCTGTCGAATGGCAAGCCCATAATTTTGGGTCATCACAGTACCGTCAACCAACCAGCCTTACTCACATGTACGGCGTAATGGCTCGAGTCCTATTCTACTAGATAGCTATGACCATATTTGCGGAGTTCGAAACGCTCGTTCTGCTGCCACCATTTCTGCTGCCACCATATGGCTTGCTTGATTGATGGTGCAAACTGTCCGGTCGTACAGACTCGCTCCAAACCCGGGCCCAAGCATAGATGCATAAACGTTCGACGCAACGACGAAGGCACAGTCATCTCGATAGCCCGCCAAGATCCAGATTTTCGTACGTGAAACGGTTGCGTCGCTTAACGGTATACTCGAACAAATAATCGGTAGGCTGGTTATCATGTTTCGGTTTTAGACCCAGGCTTGGGGCAGGTCAATTCCAAAGTTTGAACTTTTACCAGACCATGGTTCCGGAAAACTATTCAAAGATGTTCGGATGAAGATCAAATTCTCATGTTTCTGTTAAGCAGCTGCCTAATTGCACTCAATTGTTATCAGTTGTCACGGAACCAACCCCATGCATTTTGACTGTCTTCGGTTCATGTCGGTAAAGCTCCACAAAACCGAGCTTGACTGGTCATCTCGTGGCGCACTACTGAGCAGGTTAGCAGCAACAACAGAGAGATGGAGGCTACTTTGAGGACCCTTGGATACTTTCGAAAGCAAGACTGAGCTTGCTGAATCATCTTGAACAGCAGTTGATGCGTGAGGGCATGCTTCGTCGTTGACGCTTCCATATCATCAAACTTGCTGTTCCCTGAAGTCGCTCGGACGGCAGCGTCGGCTTTCTGTCTCTGTGCATCTGGAGTGGCGGTCCTGAAAGCTTGTTCTGCTGAAATGGTCCTTGATAGGCGTGAGAGTTTCTCCACAGCTGACTCTTCGTCGAAGTCCTGAAAAAAAGTTGTAGAGTATAAGGGTTTTATAAACCTGCTGTCACTAGGAAATCACAGGACGTCACTGAAGCGCTTTGCAGCTGAGCCTGCTGTCAACCTCGCTCGGGGCCTTAATATGCCATTGCTGTGGCTATAAGCTTGCACAACGAAGTACTATCCGGGTCGAAGAAGTTGCGTTGACACTACGTTCATCCACTCCTAGTTGAGACGTGCATAGCTGATTTATGCTACGTGCTACGTCCTCCTGCAGAGCTTGATGACTCACCTCAATTGTAATGCATTCCGCTGAGTGGTTACTACCCGCAGAGGACGGCATGCGGACTGACATGGGGCTTGATAGATCCTGATCATGAAAGTTCTCGCAGGTCTCTGAGACTGCTGGTTTTTGGGGTTCCTTCTCAGCAGAGTTCAGTCTCTTGAATCCATGAACTCTCTTGAATCCATTCCTGGTAGAACTGTCGCTTGAGGTCTCGGAAGTTTCTGGCGAGAGATGGTATATGTCCTCATCAGCGACTATGCTCCGAATGGTTTGATTGGAGGCAATAGCGGGACTATCTGCCCAGGACTCTTTCTCAGTCTCTTCCGCAGACTCTAAGTGAGAGCTTGGATTGCTTGATTCTCGGTCCTCAGTTGATTCTTCTGAGAGGCTATCTTGGCTGGTTGATGATCCCTCCGGGCGCTGTAATGTTGCAAATCGTGTATTGGCCTCCTCCTTCTGCATTGTCGTCTGCACAACAAGACGTTAAACGGACTCATTTAATTTGATCTTGTGGTATTTGATCGACAATCTTGGCATCTGTTCAAAGAGCCTAGGACATCCTTGTCAATTTTCAACATTTTCAACCTCAGAAGGACGTATATCTAGTGTCGAGCACAAGCAGACTGAACCTTCTCCACCCGTTGACAAAAGTTACACAATTCAACAATATGAATGCTATCTTCCAGCGCTACTTCGGCTCATTGAATGGACCTTACCTTCAAAATCTTTTGAGTACCTCGGTCGATGAGGGACTGCACCAGCATAGCATCCGATGTCTTCCCACTTTTTTGACTCCCGCTTTTTCTCAGCGAACGGCTAGCTATCAGAATCTTGGCACCTGCTATGCACGTCCCTGGACAGTTTTTCGCTGGCCTTCGCTCAGGAACCACCAGCGTGCTGCTGTTCCAACCCTTCTCTCTCGACATCTTCCTCTTTCTTAGAGAGGTGCAGGGGCCGCAAGAAGCAACGAATGATGAGCGGAAGTCGAGGGCCGGTTAAAGTCAGGAGTCTATAACTCACAGGCCAAAGCACTTCAAAGTCTACTTGGATCAGCAAAATGCGGCTTTTCGAGCTCTGACATGATTGGAACTCAGGACTGGTTCGCTTTCTGGATGAGCAGCTTTGGATGCCGTCCAGTCTTGCTCACATGTTGAAGACAACGTGTTCAGAATTCTGCATCAGGCTTTTCCTCTACAGATGCTGCCGCAACCGTTCAACCGTTCTACCACCTTAACCAGCAACGAGACCTGCACTGCCATTGCGATGCAGAGATTCCCTCAGGAAGGAAAGTACGTCTGCAAAAATGAGCTCCAGCTTCCTGAGAAGAGCGCAAAGCGGACGTCCACATCAGTTTTTGGCGAAGCCTTTGAAGATCACCGTCTTGAATGTTTGATGCAGAAATGTATGCAGCCGTTGGATGCTGAGTCTCACTTTCAGCGGACGGTCTTTGGACGGTTTGCCAAGCGCCACGCGTACTGTATGGACTTAGGTACATGACAAAGTCTACTGGTAGATTAGATGTTGTGTCCAAGGTCTTTCGGACACTTTGTCACGTATGCTATACAGTAATTTCTGAAAAAAAAATGTCAGTCTGTATGTCGGATTGCCAGTGAGCCCCGAATCAAAATCGGAACTCTGTCTAGAAACGGGTCATCACAAGAACTTATGGCCATGCATGGCTTCAAGAATGCGACACAGCTTGGCGACGAATCCTGCTTTTATTTAACGCACCCCTTGCATGGATAATTCGAGTATCATCGAGTCTCCCTTTTGGCTTGATAGACGGCTACTGAGCAATTCCAATGTGGACAATACCCCTCGTAAGGTGCAAGAGTGATATGTTAAAATCAAGCACAGATGCAATGATTCAATGGACGATCCTTAACACAATTACCTCAGTGGCCGGGCACCCTCGTGGCCCCATATTGGCTTGCCTCTTCCC